AATCCAACTAGTTGGGATTACAGTTGCCCGTGTGTGTATGAAACGTGATTCTGTTAAAAACAATGCTTCCGAGCACTTTACAATTGCACGATGTTAGAGATATGGGTCTATAATTGTCGGAATGTTGTCTGGGAATAAGAACAACTACTCTCTTTGGCCAATAAACCAATAATCAGAATAACCCTTCACTTAAACTCATTCTATATAACATTAAAAGTGGATTATTTGGCACTTGTGAGACTAATCTCAGTAAGCTGTATGTAATACCGTCTTCTCCAGCAACAGTTGCTTTGCCCATCGTTAATACGTGAGTTAATTCCCATTCTGTTACACCATGAAGATCTGACCCGGCAATAGTTGTACATCAAGATTGATGAATCGTTGACTGTTGGGGCGCGTCATTAAGTTGTTCTATATGTTAATTTAGAGTGAGTGAAAGGTTGATGTATAATACCGATTGATCAAGCAAAATTGTTGTCTTGTTCCAGTGGGCTGTGGTGTAATAGTTTGGTTGTTCTAGTAGATTGTGGCATAATAGTTTTGGCTTAATAGTTTGGTTGTTCTAGTAGACTGTGGCTTAATAGTTTGGTTGTTCTAGTAGACTGTGGCTTAATAGTTTGGTTGCTCTAGTGAGCTGTGGCCTAATAGTTTGGTTGGGCTCTTTTTACATATTTTTCGTATCTTTTCCCAGAATTCAACAAGTGATATTTGTTCGTTTGTACTGTGTAGGAACTCTTCCCAACGTTTGTTCTGTATTACACTGCTCATGTCTCTCATCTCTCCATTTCCCACAAAAAATGTATGCAAACCTTCATAAATTCGTTCATGATCTTTGATACATGCGGGATCAAGGACCCATTTGTCGTGCTGTTTACCCCTGCTAGGATTATGGTTTAATAATAAAATAATAATTCACTGTGTTGGGGGACAGGGAGCCTATGTACCAGTTTTGAATTAGTAGTTTATAGCCTAGTACCGGTGCTGTAAACCTTTTTTTGGAGTCGTTATACTTATTAGTATAGTTACTTGTGCTAAAAAAAATCCATTATTATCGTTGCTCTGAAGTCTGTTCGAAACATCCCTGTTCGGAAGTCTTTACATTATTACAAGACAGATTTCTTTGAGACAGATGGCCGAGTTGGGTGACTTCTGGTTGATAGGCTCCTACTAACCTTTAATTTATTGACCATAGTATTAGTAAATAATTGTTGTCTATTATGACATGACTAGTCCAATCATTTTTGTCTATTATGACAGGATTAGTCCAATTATTGTTTGTTCTATTAAGAGTTAAAATGAATTTGTAAAGGTATACATTTTTGCTCACCCTATTGTTTTATGTCACCGCGTCGAGGTATGAAGATTTACTACGATTAAATTATTATACTTTCTCCATCTATGGAGATAGAATTACTTACGAGGATCTACTCGCAATCTGACTTACGAAATATTTCCAGATAGCCTAGTCACTGCTTTCCCTAGTCATTAACTCGCATTTTTATCAGTTACTACAGCTTCTCCAGTCTAGTTACAAACCTGACGTTGTGCCAGCAGTAGCAGCAACACCTGATCCAGTTACAAGCAGCATCAATAATAGGAGCAGCAATCAACCAACAGGAGCATCAACAACAGCAGCAGCAAGAGCACCATAGCATCAGCAACAGTAACAGCACCAACAGCAGGAGCACCAATAACACCGACAACAATAACAGCAGCAGCAACACCAGCACCGGTAGCATTAGCAGTAATGGCAACGACAGCAGTAGCACCAGAACTAGTAATAGCAAAACCAGTAGCAGGAGCACCGGCAGCGGCCGCAACAACACCGGAACGAGTAGCAGCAACACCAGCGTTAGTACGAATTACCACTAGCCGTAACAAAAACCATCAGTACCAATTAAGTTACCAACAGAAACAGAAATATCATGAACCAGCACCACAAACATTAGTATCACCACCAGTAACATGTAGCAACAGTAACAGAAGTAACACAAACACCGTCGCGACAGCAGTAACAACAGCAAGAAATACAATAATATTAGTAACGGCCTAAAAAATGCAGCAGCAAAGACAACAAAAACAGAAGTAGTGAAAAAACTAACCAGTATTCAGTCAAGGAACCACAACGTGCTGTTGCTCATTACGCATCAGCAACATGTGCTAGCAACAACAGCAAAACACCAGTAGCAGCAACAAAACTCGAGAGAGATGGACATAAAAGCCTAGAGAGCAGTCTGGTGCGTTGGCCACCACCTGATGAGTTCAAGGTTAATACCTTGTTACCAGCTGGATACCTCTGGAACAATTTATCGACCGTTAAATTACGACAGGTTACGTTAGCAAATTAGGGTAGATAATCAGGACAGGATTTCCCATTGTTTGGGACAGTTAGCTTGTTAGGATTATCAAGGCTCCCAAGCCAATGACTATCCTTCACTAGAGTGCGACTCACACAAGCTCCCTGGGGTATCTATTTTCTGCTAGGTGAATAAGACGCATCAGGTGTAAGGAAACGTGCCCGAACGACCTGCCCTTGAATCAAACTCCAAGATCAATCGGTTGGGAGCCGATTTCGTGTGGACGTACTCACATAGTTGTACTTGTGGAGGGGGAATGGGGGGGCTTGACCTTCAGCTTTCAGGACAAACCTCTCAACCTTAATCGATTGGTGCACAGGTTCCCGAGCCACGTTCGCTGTCATGCAGTATTTAAATTTGAAGCTGTGCGTGAAGTCTGCCTGTACCACTTTACTTCTTAGAGTATTCAATTTGTTTATGTCCATTTGTTCGTGTACCACACATAGCAAATAGTCTGTCCTTATCTACCCCTATCTAAAATTATCCCTGATAATTTTGTATGTGGTGATCAAGTCTTCTATGATTCTCCTTTCTTCTAGTGACATAAGCTTTAAATCCGTTAGTTTTTCCTCATAACTCTCAGCTCTGGTCTGATAGCATATATCTGGATCTTCTCCAGCTTTGTGAGCTCTTGACCTACGTTCTGTAGTCGCTCATGTAAAGAAGGTAGCAGCACAGTCATGTGTGCCTAAACTTTGTTAACGCAAAATAGGTAGTTTAGTTCGTGAATTATGCACCACATACCAATACTGCGAGCGGTTGTTGAAATGTTACAGAGCAAATAAATATAAAGAGCAAAGGAGCTGAACGAACATGTGTGTACCTACACGCAAGTTATAGCATATTGATATAAAAGAGTTACAGTGTAACATATACTGCATAGCTACACAATGGGCTTAGACACTAAAATGGGTAGTTGTCTAATTAGTAAAACGTATAGTTTATGTTAAAGGAAGTCATAATGTAAGCAGGACAAATTTGAGGCAGTGCGCCACACCACAGTGAAAATTCTGCCTGAAAGCACAGCCAATACGTAGTGACTCGAGATCTTTCCAGAAGCAGAACGGGCTGGCGACATCATTGCTCAAGTCTCCCGGGTTACCACAGTACTCAAGTTGGGAAATCCACTTTTTTAGTTAATTCCTGTGTCTGAGCCCCAGGATGTATTGTATCTTGCAGCAAATAAACATAACTATTTTAAAACTATATATTTAAAATGTTTGAGAGGCGCGTGTATGAGCAAGTCTTTTTTTTTTAGCAGTATATGTAATTTAGTTAAATCATTATGCACTGTGAGTGGAGGTGGAAAATATACAGAATAACAATTAAGGGGTTTAAGAGCTGAACCCATAATATTCGGTTGGGTGTAAGTATATATGTGTAGTTTTACTGTATTATATTTTCCAGTTACATCATGCTGATTTTGTCAAAATTTCATTTTTCCGAGCTAAATAAGTAACCTAGTGAGTGCTAGTGACAACATTTTTCTCTCATTTTCCAGCAGCCACCTGGGTGAGGTGTCTTAAACAATAATATAGTATATATATATATATATATATATATATATATATATATATATATATATATATATATATATATGTACTCACCTAGTTGTGCACAGAGACGGCACCACTCCCGTGCCAGGTAAGTCCACTACGGGCTCACCGTAGCCCGTGCTACTTGCCCCGCTCCTGTGCCAGGTAAGTTACGGGCTCACCATAGCCCGTGCTACTTGGAACCTGTTCCGAGTAGCTGAATCTATAACTACCTAGTTGTGCTTGAGGGGGGGGGGGTTGAGCTCTGCTCTTTCAGCCCGCCTCTTAACTGTCAATCAACTGTTACTACTATTTTTTTTCAACACCACACACACACACCAGGAAGCAGGCCGTGACAGCTGACTAACTCCCAGGTACCTATTTACTGCTAGGTAACAGGGGCATTAGGGTGAAAGAAACTCTGCCCATTGTTTCTCGCCGGCGACCGGGATCGAACCCGGGACACTAATATAGTATTAGTTTAACAGCTGGAGTTGATAAGATGCTAAAGAAAGTATATCTTGAAAAGTAGAAAACGTGGTTTGTTATCTTAAAAGATAGCAGTGACAACTTTTCAAATGTTTTTTCTTTTAGGTATATAATATATGTACTGTATGCATACTATATATAATTTAAATTATTTTACCCGAAACTCTGTGCGTATTAGTGGCTTCAGGCATTGCATGTACTGGCGCTATATATTTATCAGACATAATGTTTGTAACTCATTTTCAATATTTGTACCTTTACCTGAATAAATATCTTATCTTCTTATCTTATCTAAATCGTTTTCGTTTTCATATTGTTTGACCTCATTGTTAGCATATAAATTCTACACCATTTGTAATTATGTAATGCATGTATTTTTACATGTGTACCGTACTTACAGAGGCTACAGTATTGTAAATCTTTCCATGTGGCGCCAGAATGTGGGTATCGTTGTCCCGTATTTCCTATATAATTCTTATCATCCAGCAGTAACTTATAAGTTGCTTTTTAAAACAAATTTACTTAATTTCGAATTAGCACATCAGTGAAACATCTCGTCATACTGTAGTTTAATCCAGAATTAAACAGATTGCTATTCAGTAATGCGTGAGATAAGTGACGTCAGAGGCGGGAGGGGCCGCCATTGGCTGGGTGTCGACGATGATTCTAGAAGTGACGTGCGGTCGGCGGGGTGGGCGACGCCGCCGCCATACACGCCCTGAGCGTTGCCGCGGCAACAGTACGTCTCTCCTCGCTCCTCGTTCTTCATATTAGTCGTAAGTGTAGTGACTTCGACTTCAGTCTTAAGGGCCACAAGGATTTGTCGTGTGAAGCATTGTGTTGTGGCAAGTTCCGGTTATATTCGGGTCGAGATATAGTGGAAAACTAGACTAAAATAATGGAAGCATTTGGATGGTATTTCGGAACATGATCGTTCGTCAGGATGTTATTGAACGCCGCCGCCGCCGCGGTGGGCCGGGGGCTCTTGTGCTGCTCTACAGGACATAATCTCTTATGAACATTGACGGGGGCGGGGTTCGTGCATAACAGTAGGTTTGAAGTCATATAACTTGCATTTTAACAGTTTATGGTTAAAATATAACCTTTTTAAGTGTTTGTAGTGCCACTCGTTAGTTTAATCCTCGGTATTGACAACTAAATTGCATCACCGCGTCCGGGAATTGGAACTCGATACATAAATTATGAATTTAATATAGATATATGGAATAATATCTGGGAAGCGGGAGGCTAGGGTGATCGATGAGCCTGGTGAGGGTACACTTCCTGATGCTGGTCCTGTCGCCCATGTTGGATGGGCGTCTGGTGTGAGTGAACTCATTGTGGTATAGAGCCAGATACACTTGCATCATGTATTACCATGATGTGGATATTCTTCCCGTCTACTTGGTGCTCCATGCTTTTGATCGGTTTATAATTTTGCTCTGATTGTAAAGACTTCCATTAGGCGGATTAATAAAATAACTAGAGCGGGAGTGGAGGCATTCAGTGGGTGTTGTCTACTGAAGTATAGTCGGTACTGGCAGTTTTCCATACTGTGAATGTCCGTTTTAATTTTCATTTGTACAACATTGTTTAAAAACACTGTTAGCCTTTTGGTTTAGTGGAATAAACGCCCGCTGCAAAGTTTTTACCATAAAACCCTTTTGCAGTTGGTTTTAAGTGACTTGAAGAACCCGGTCTGAACACTAAAATTGCGGCGAACCCAGCCGCGTAGTCCCTGGTCAGACCCCAGACTGATTGTTCATGACGGCAAGTGACGTAAACACCATTCACCGTAAAGTTACACCAATACATACACCAATTAGCAGTCTCCGTGGCGCAGTGGTAAGACACTCGCCTGGCGTTTCGCAAGCGCCTTGCCTTGGGTTCGAATCCTGGCCGGGGAGGATTGACCGGGCGCCAATCCTTAACTGTAGCCTCTGTTCACCCAGCAGTGAATGGGTACCTGGTTGTTAAACGATTCGGCGGGGTCGTATTCCGGGGAAATTAGGGTTAAGGACCTTGCCCGAAACGCTACGCGTAATAGTGGCTTTACAAGAATGTAATGTATGTACATGAAAGTATAACTTGACATCTACATGGACGCTATTTAGCGTGACCTGTTAAATAAACTTCATTGTACTGGCTTTTCTTATTCCTGACAAAAAAAAGGGCAAAACTAGACATAGGTGTTGCTCGCTCGCTAGCCCAGTATTTGAGTATGGTTAATAGATTATGCACAAAGAACTCTGGTAGTGGGATAGTTACTGCATACATCTGCATTTATAGTAACGGCGAATTTCCTTGAACTATGAGTAAAGCAGATACACATGGTTCCCAAACCCATTAACTAAACACTCGACCGCCCGCCGCCGCCCTCCACAATGTCTTGGCACAGCCGACTAAGGGGCGTCTGGGATCATCCCGGACGTAGATTAGAACACTCACCATGGCCCTTGTGGATCTTTTTATTTGATATCACGCTATTGTCTGTGTACTCTCCTATTTGTGCTTGCGGGGGTTGAGCTTTCTCTCTGGTCCCGCCTCTCGACTGCCAATAAACTGGTGTACCGATTCCTGAGCCTACTGGAGTCTATCACATCTTACATGTGAAACTGTGTATGGCGTCAGCCTCAACCACATCACTTCCTAGTGCATTCCACTTGCTAACTACAATGGCACTGAAATTCTTTCTAACGTTTGTGCCTCATTTGGGTACTAAGTTTCCACCTGTGTCCCCTTGTTCGTGTTCCACCCGTGCTGAAGGTTTTGTCCACCCTGTCAATTCCCCTGAGAATTTTGTAGGGGGTTATGTCTCCCCTTACTCTTCTGTTTTCCAGGGACGTGATGTTCAGCTTCAGCCTTTTCTCGTAGCTCATACCTATAAGTTTCGGGACAAGGCTGGTGGCATGCTGCTGAATCTTTAACTTTTCCTCGTGTTTAACTTGATATGAAACTGACAGAAGCTACATATTCCAGGATTGGTCTGACACAAGTGGTATAAAGGGTCTTGAACGTTCCCTTACACAGGTTTCTAAAGACAGTTCTTATGTTGGCCAACCTAGCATATGCCGCAGATATCCTTTTGATGTGGGCCTCTGGGGACAGGTTCGGTGTGATATCAATCCCCAGATCTTTCACTCTTGCTGGACTTCACCTCCCAGATGGTACATTGTGTTCAGCCTTCTGTTCCCTTCGCCAAATTTTATTACTTTCCTGAGTTGAACTTTGGCAACCATTTTCTACACCAATTTGTCCCGTTCATCCTGTAGTATTATCTTCATCTGTCTTGATTCTTCTCATAATTTTTTGCATCACCAGCAAACATTGAGAGGTTCTGTCTGTGTCTATCATTACCTAAGTGTAGTTACAGGATGAGAGCTACGCTCGTGGTGTCTGTCTGTGTCCACGATAGCTAGTGGTCCAGGCCGGCCACCTGGAGGACTTTGTACTCGCCTATTTTTTTTATAGATAAAAGTTACATTCTTGTACATTTTGTACTTGCGGAGGTAGAGCTCTGGCTCTTTGGTCATGGAGCAGCTTTGGTGCTATGGGCCCTTTACTCACGTGGGGATGGTTTGTAGTAAATTCTACCATGTACTAGGCCAATATGAGGGTATGGCCTGGACTACTTTAATTTAAATCTTCTAAAGGCCAATTAGAGCCACGCAAGTATTAATAGTCGGCAATACATTTACACTACTAGATAGCCTTCCCGGTTTGGTGCCTTCTATTGATACTTACACCACTAGATCTGACCAAATTAACTAAAATGTTTACATACTTCGTCACTGAGTGAGAATAGTTTGAAAGATGCGCGCATATGTAATAGGAATTCATGCTACGCCAAATCTAAGTACACGTTGTATCCATGGTTTGCCTATTGTAACTTAAACTATTGTCAAAGTCTAAAAGTTTAAATGACCATTTGGGCCGATTATGCATCTTACCACTATGCTACAGTCCGATGGCTTTTGAAAATTAAATTTAAGGTAGCCATTTTCAGCTAGCTGTAATTATAGTACTCTGCACTTTGTGGTGTACTTGACCAAAGGCTCGAATCATGTTGGTCTGTAATTTAATGGGGGGGGGGGGCAATATAAATGCTGAAAAGTAAATATACGCAGTGGGCATAAGTGTTTAAAGTTACCTTGGTATATGACACCGCGCAACTTGTAAGTTACTTGCCGTGTTTGGTTGGTAAGCGGCGAGTTGCAGGATGAGTCAGAGGGCCACAGGCAGCCCACGCCAGGTCTTGCCGTTCTCAGTAAGGCCAGTCAAGGATTCGCTGTGCCACTTTCCCTTGTACTAGGCAAGAATTAAAATTTGACAGCGTAAAGTTTAGTCGAGGGAGCCGGTCGGCCGAGCGGACAGCACGCTGGACTTGTGATCCTGTGGTCCCGGGTTCGATCCCAGGCACCGGCGAGAAACAATGGGCAGAGTTTCTTTCACCCTATGTCCCTGTTACCTAGCAGTAAAATAGGTACCTGGGTGTTAGTCAGCTGTCACGGGCTGCTTCCTGGGGGTGGAGGCCTGGTCGACGACCGGGCCGCGGGGACACTAAAGCCCCGAAATCATCTCAAGATAACCTCAAGAAGAAGATAACCATTCAAATGACTATCTACATTTGAATGTTGGCAAAACTAGTTACAAACCATCCAGATAGTTTGAAATCTGTAATGTCACTACAGTATCTGGATCAGTACTTTTATTTTTTCATTTTCAGCCTTAACCTACCAGTTTAGCCTGCAACATTACCAAAATAAACCACCAATGTGTTGTGCACTACTCGCCCGGTACCCTTCTAACACAGCTCGTGCCGCCGCCCGCTCATCCACTCCTTTCCCAGCCAAGGAAAGTAGGCCTACAGTATATAGTAAATGTATTTTATAATATTTGACTAGAGGAGTCTCTAGTCAAGTCTAGTCTAGTTTATTTTTTTTTTTTTTTTTTTTTTTTTTTTAGATATATACAAGAGTTGTTACATTCTTGTACAGCCACTAGTACGCGTAGCGTTTCGGGCAAGTCCTTAATCCTATGGTCCCTGGAATACGATCCCCTGCCGCGAAGAATCGTTTTTTCATCCAAGTACACATTTTACTGTTGCGTTAAACAGAGGCTACAGTTAAGGAATTGCGCCCAGTAAATCCTCCCCGGCCAGGATACGAACCCATGACATAGCGCTCGCGGAACGCCAGGCGAGTGTCTTACCACTACACCACGGAGACTGCCGTGAGAGACTGGATTTATGCAGTCTCCGTGGTGTAGTGGTAAGACACTCGCCTGGCGTTCCGCGAGCGCTATGTCATGGGTTCGTATCCTGGCCGGGGAGGATTTACTGGGCGCAATTCCTTAACTGTAGCCTCTGTTTAACGCAACAGTAAAATGTGTACTTGGATGAAAAAACGATTCTTCGCGGCATGGGATCGTATTCCAGGGACCTGCCCGAAACGCTACGCGTACTAGTGGCTGTACAAGAATGTAACAACTCTTGTATATATCTCAAAAAAAAAAAAAAAAAAAAAAAAAAAATGGACCAGACTGTGCCCGGGTCTCTGTATTCTCTAGATCGTAGACGGAAAGACGCACTAATTTACAAATGGAAAATATTGAGGGGGGGCTGGATTCAAATCTGCACACATCACAAGAAGCCAAAAAGCCATTGCAGGGTGTGTAGAATACCCTCGCTGAAAAGCAGGATAGGTACTGAGAGAACCGGAAGGCCAGAGACTACAGTATTTAGCATGCTTTCACTACACACAAGGGGCATACTGGCAGACTCCTAATATTAAAGTTATAAACACCTCCCAAAGAAAACCAGATTCAGGCTGTAATTCGTACGTCAGGCTGCCAGCAGCCGCGTTCAACAACCTGGTTGACTAGACCTCCACGCGCCCCCCCCCCCCCCCCCCTTTTACATTACTGCCAAGGCAGACACCCGGCCGCCGCCGCCCCTTCTATCCACTGCCAAGACCGACACATCTTGTTTCATCTTGGAATTGAGTTTTTTTTTTAGGGGGGGGGGGGGTGTTGATTGCCCTAGAGTAGATCAAAGGTTTTCACCACATCTGTGGGAGGAGGGCGACTATTCTCGGTCTTGACAGCATTGGGTCTCCTAGTTTTTATATAGTACTGTTGGTTCGCTGTTGTAGCCTGATGTTTAATAGTTGTATGTTCAGGGCTTAGTGTAGTTCCTGAATTGTCTGGGCATGTAAAGTTATAACGGGTTTGGACGAAACACTAGTAACGATGTAAATGGTTACGGCAAGGGTTGTATCGACTCTTGACGAGGCTGAGGACTTTGTTGCTGCAATTACTCATTTTACTGCACGCAAGACAGTTTTTTTGTTGCGTGATAGTTTTCTTAAAGGTATGTTCCTTAAGCTGCCGCAGGACTTAAAGGCTTACAAAAGTGTCTATATATTCATTCTAACGTGCTCCTTCCCCCACCCACCTTGAAGATTCAGCGGTATGCCACCAGGCTTGTCCCGGAACTGAGAGGAATGGGCTACGAGGAAAAGCTAAAAGAGCTGAACCTCACATCTGTTTTCCAGAGTAAGGAGAGACATAACGACCTACAAAATTCTCAGGGGAATTGACAGGGTGGACAGAAACTCTTCAGCACGGGTGGGACAGGAACAAGGGGACACAGGTGGAAACTTAGTACCCAGATGAGCCACAGAGACGTTAGAAAGAATTTTTTCAGTGTAGAGTAGTTAATAAATGGAATGCACTAGGCAGTGATGTGGTGGAGGCTGACTCCATACAGTTTCAAATGTAGATATGATAGAGCCCAGTAGGCTCGGGAATCTGTACACCAGTTGCTTGACAGTTAAGAGGTGGGACCAAAGAGCCAAAGCTCAACCCCCACAAGCACAATTAGGTAAGTACCCCCACTATTGATACTCGCCCTCACACGTACTACTACCACTGTTGTCCCCCCCTCCCCCTTCCATACCCCAGTGCTCCTGGGTGTTGCAGGAGCTTGTTATACCTCCATCCCATCGCTTCTGCAGCTGTTCTCCTAACCTGCTCACTGCTCCTGCAGTCGTGTTGTCCCCCCCCCCTTCCCCACTACCTGTTGGTTTTCCACCCACTCTGCAGTTCCATCCAGGAGGAAAGTTTGAATTGCACAAGTTTTTATAAATTTAATCTGAATATTAGGTTCCATATTTCCTTGCACATTATAGTGCTGCTGGTGGCAACATGACTGCACAAACATTAAAAGGTTTGTAACCAAAGATATTGGAACTCAATTATTCCTGATAACTTAAATATTAAGGTCATTGGTAGGAGGGAGACAAATACTGTACTGTATAGCAAGTGTAAATTTATTACTTTTGCCAAAATGTTGCCATTTTGGAGTGCACTTGCTCTATGAAAGTGGCTCCCTATATTGTGCAGTATAAATGTACTGTACTTGAATGTACTAGTTTGTGAACTTCGTATTTTTAGAAGTTTAATATGGATATGTTTAATTTCCTTGGATACATTTTTATTCTGATTAAATCAGGATAAATGGCTATCCTGGTTCCAGTATTGGGACTTTTAAATCAAATTATTACAAAACTGTTAAATTCTAAATGTTCAAATTCTTGTATAATAGCAAAGCTAGTCTTTGTAGTTGTCAGAAATTTAATTGGTAATTATAGGTATTTAAGATTTTGAACCAATTTGGAAATGGTGAAAACTGAAGTGACCTGGAACACACCTTGGATATCCATTGATGTTGGTGGTTTAGTATAGAATGTTTTTTCTAAACTAGGTTTGTGCTGAATAACACTGTACCAATATCCATATGTATTGAAAGCTACCAAATCATATTTTTTTGTGCATAGATTTAATAGTACAGGTATTTCATATCTACTAAATTTACCTAATGAGACTAGAAATTAAGTTAAAACATAAATTTAATTTTTCATTGAAAGTTAATTTGCTTTGATTTTTCTTTTCAGACTATGCCTAAAGCTGTTGGCATTGACCTTGGCACCACCTTCTCATGTGTGGGTGTATTCCAGCATGGGAAGGTAGAAATCATTGCAAATGACCAGGGTAACCGTACTACACCATCGTATGTGGCTTTCACTGATGCAGAGAGGCTCATTGGTGATGCTGCCAAGAATCAGGTAGCAATGAACCCAAACAATACAGTTTTTGATGCTAAAAGGCTAATAGGCAGAAAATTCAATGATGCAAGTGTTCAAGCTGATATGAAACACTGGCCATTTACTGTAATTAGTGATGGTGGCAAACCCAAAATTCAGATTGAATACAAGGGAGAAACGAAGTCTTTTTACCCAGAAGAAATTTCATCAATGGTACTTATCAAGATGAAAGAAACGGCTGAAGCTTACCTTGGCTCCACTGTAAAGGATGCAGTTATAACAGTGCCTGCATACTTCAATGATTCACAGCGGCAAGCCACAAAGGATGCTGGAACTATCTCTGGTATGAATGTGCTTCGTATTATTAATGAACCCACTGCTGCAGCCATTGCATATGGTCTAGATAAAAAGGTTGGTGGTGAACGTAATGTTCTCATCTTTGATCTTGGTGGTGGTACATTTGATGTTTCAATCTTGACAATAGAAGATGGTATTTTTGAAGTAAAGTCTACTGCAGGTGATACTCACCTTGGTGGAGAAGACTTTGATAATCGTATGGTTACCCACTTCATTCAAGAGTTCAAACGCAAGTATAAAAAGGATATGAGTGACAACAAGCGTGCAGTAAGACGGCTACGTACAGCATGCGAACGTGCTAAAAGAACTTTGTCTTCATCTACACAAGCAAGTATTGAGATAGACTCCCTGTATGAAGGTGTAGACTTCTACACTTCAATTACCAGAGCTAGATTTGAAGAAATGTGTGCTGACCTCTTCAGAGGCACACTTGATCCTGTAGAAAAGTCTCTCCGTGATGCAAAAATGGACAAGAGTCAAATTAATGAAATTGTTATGGTGGGTGGTTCTACAAGAATTCCAAAGATTCAAAAGTTGCTGCAAGATTTCTTTAATGGTAAAGAGCTTAATAAATCTATTAATCCCGATGAAGCTGTTGCTTATGGTGCTGCAGTTCAAGCAGCAATCCTGTGTGGAGACAAGTCTGAAGCTGTTCAAGACTTGTTGCTGCTGGATGTTGCTCCACTTTCTCTTGGTATTGAAACTGCTGGTGGTGTAATGACTGCTCTCATTAAACGCAACACTACTATTCCCACAAAGCAGACTCAGACATTTACAACATATTCAGATAATCAACCAGGTGTTCTCATTCAGGTATATGAAGGTGAACGTGCCATGACCAAAGACAACAACCTTCTTGGCAAATTTGAATTGACTGGTATTCCACCAGCCCCACGTGGGGTTCCTCAGATTGAGGTTACCTTTGACATTGATGCTAATGGAATTTTAAATGTATCTGCTGCAGACAAATCCACTGGCAAAGAAAATAAAATCACCATTACAAATGACAAGGGACGGCTCAGCAAAGAAGAAATTGAGAAAATGGTTCAAGATGCAGAGAAATATAAAGCTGATGATGAAAACCAGCGTGAACGAATTGCAGCCAAGAATAGTCTCGAATCTTATTGCTTTAATATGAAATCTACTGTGGAAGACGAAAAGTTCAAAGATAAGGTTTCTAGTACTGATCGCAGCAAAATACTAGATGCATGCAATGAAGCAATTAAATGGTTGGATTCTAATCAGTCTGCTGAAAAGGATGAATTTGAGCATAAACAGAAGGAAGTAGAGCAGATTTGCAATCCTATCATAACAAAGATGTATGCTTCTTCAGGAGGGGCACCTGGTGCACCTGGTGGGGCACCTGAAGGTGCCTCCACTGGCGGTGGACCTACCATTGAAGAAGTTGACTAAACCAGTTCTTTGTAGCTTAACATTTACATCATGTCTATTTGTGAACATTATATTTGAAATATTTGCTTGCCTAGCATGTTAAATAGTTAAAAAATTCACTTAAAGCATTATATAAATATATTTTAGTAGCAGTGCTATACCAAAAAAATTTGCTTTAAACAATGGAAATTCCTAAATCATATCTTAAACTAAGAATGTACTGAATTAAATTTTTGATGTAACTGGTTAATTTCAAAAGGCTCTTTTTTTTTATGAAAGGTTGAATCTAGTGCATTTGTGTGTGCAGATGAAATATTAAAATTAAGCTGATAAGTGTTAATTAAAAAATTATAGTAATGGAAGGATCTATGTAATTTGATGCTTTAGTACATACACTGCATTGTATTTATTTTTGGTAAAGTTGAGATTTGTTTTTCAGTTAACCTGGTGGATGCTTGTGGCATGCTTAGCTAGGAGTACAAACAAAACTAATTGATATTAATTTATTGTGTACATTAGATTACAATTCTGTATAAAAGTACATGGTAATAGCTAAATTGTAAGCAGCCATGTTAAGGTAAAGCATTTTTTGTTTTTATAGCAACATTCTACTGTTAACTAAAACAAAATTCAAATGTGAAACTTTACTAAAGCAGGCAAAATATTGCTGCCAAATCAGATTATTTGCTCTGTACATTTAATAAATATTGAACTAGCTAAAGGTTTTTCTTTACCATAAGACCACTTGCAATTCTTGAGCTTTTAAGCTAAATGATCCAAAAGTGCCATGGATCTGTTAGGGTGTCGCTTAGTCTGGGAAATGTTGCCATATTTTATTTTGTCCACGACTCTGGGGTGCAGTTTGTAGCCAGAGCTTCCAGGAAGTATGCTACCAACAGCTTTATTTAATGTGGCATATAAATGCTTTGATTGATCACCTGGACGTTTAGAAGGGTGATAATTGGTACCAATTTCACTAGCTGAATCTGCCAGCTTCATGGATTTATCAATAGGTTCTGCAAAGTTCTTCATTTCCCCAAGAGTAATGTGATAAAGAAAAGGATCTTTCACTGGATCAGATGGCTGGCATGAACCACACTGCACACACACACTTTGACCTTTCCTGTTGGTTAAAGTAGGCTCTAAGAACAAACGTTCATTTTGTAGGTAGTGGTGGACACCTGTAAAATACAAATTAGAAATTTATTAAGTACAACTATGCAAAGTACAGTACTAAATTTTCACTGAAAACACTGGACCAATGTGAGGATAAAATTCCACCATTGTATATTACTGGTTGGACTAGTAAATTAGTATAGTAATCACCTGTCCAGGACACTAATATTCTGCCATCCTGCTAATCTTGGGTAACCAGAGACATGCTATCCTGATCAAAAGATTCCTACCTAGTAAGTAAAGACTTGCCTTCATGATTAGTGACCAAATAATTATTAAAGAGAAAGCTGGAAATTGCTTTGAGATAAGGTAAGCATGAATGGCTTCAGCAGTGGTGCCAAAACCCTCGAAGCAACACACATGTAGCAAGTTCCAGCAAAACTTGGCATATTTTTCCTCGCCTTTAGTACAGTGAATTTTTTTTTGTCAAACCGGTATGAACAGCGGTAGTGCATAAATGGCAATACAAATATTGGAAGGAAACAATTTCATGACTAGGGATGGTGGAGGATTAAAAACATGGCTCTACAGTACCTGCCTATTGTAACTGACTACTTATTCCCCCCCCCCCCCCCCCAGGATAAGATGCCAGATGTCTTCCTTAGTCTTTTTTCTGGGATGGCTTGCTTGTGCAGTCTCTTGACTCCACCCAACCCTCCTTCCCCTCAAATTCACAACAATTTCAAAGCCTTGAACCCAGACTCCTTCAAGCTGCTCTCCTTTCCCTACTCCTCTGAGAGACCATGGGTGCATTGCTTTTCCATCTCTTCAATCTATTGTGGGTCCCTCAAGCTCTCAATATGACCTTCTTCAGTTCTCTACTTTTCAGCCTCTGGCATATGACCAACCCAACCATCATCGTGTCGCCTGCTCTCATTTTCCATTCCTACCAGAGACGATGATGACTCAATTTGTACCTTCACACCACCACACCTTGTGTCTTTCAAACACAAGCCTGGTGTCTCCGAAATGCTTTAGGTCTTCCCCAACTCGTCTGTCTGCCTATTGTTCCTGTACCTCGTCTCATCTTGTCGGGAGCTGTCTGACCTTGCTATAGGACACGGTTGCTCTTGTCTCTGACATGCTCCAGATCAGAAGTAGTCTCGATCCCCGCTTAGCCCGACTTCTTTAACCACCTCTCCCCGGTGCCGCCACCTTCACTAGATAATGTCGACTCGCCTATGCTCCTTGCCGCTCTCAGCTCAACCATATCTGCTGACCTTGCCTATGCTCCCAACTGTGATTTCTCTGATCCCATTCCTGATCTTCCCTAGTTCTGTGCCTCATTTCTTTAGTTTATTTTTTATTGTAGTTGTTCTTGAATGGAACATTTGTCGTTTTTTATGCCAATTTTAGTGAACGGCAAATCGATTTCAGAGTTTTCACCACTGTATTTGCCTCATAGCGGCAATGATTGGCACTTGTCCTGTTCAATTCTGCGATTATTCCTCTCTCTCCTTCCTTCCAACTTGTTAACCCTAACTCTTGTTTTCTCTTGATCCAGAATGTTCCATTTGTTCCCCCCCCCCCCCCACCCTTTTTCATTCATTCATTCCATCACCATGCATGTCTTTGTTAATAAATGGTGTATCATCTGTTCCATTTATCTCCCGCCATAGGTTCCAATTTCTCTTCCAAATATTACTTAAAACATATTTTAGACTTCAGGCTGGAGCCTGAGCTACTTTTAGATTTTAACTGTCAACATGCCCTCTTGGGGGTTGTGTCCTTATCAATACCCAAGACAATTTTCTAGAACCTTTCATCCTCTCTTCTCCTTTGTTTCCTCTAAATTCTGGCGAGCTGACATGTCGACTCAAACTCGCATTCTTTCCTGCATAGATTTGTTTTATCTGCTGCTCTCCCTGCCAGGTCTATGTAAATGGAAGAGTCCTTAATGACTTCCATAACAATAATTATTTTTTCAGTAATGTGACACCATCCTCCAAACTGAGACCCCAAAGTCCATTCCATGCACCAGCCAAATCCCCCGTTTATGAATGAAAGTTGGTTTACACACGACTTAGAACTGATAACATCCGAACCCTTCCGGAACAAGTGCTTCGCTGATGACTTTTGTTCGAACTACAGCGCTGTAAATGCTTCACCCACGTACTACAAATAATCGCCAACAGAACCTAAACACCTGACCTAACCAGTGCCTAAATATGCTAATATATAATAATTTATATTTGAGAAAACTTCTGTTTTGAATGAACAATGTTGAAATTGATGAATGCATCTTTGGGGTCGACCGCTGGATAGAATAGACTTGGTCCGAGGATGGGTTGAATGTGAAGGTGTTCCCCGAGATAGTGTTCTGAGCAATATTTTTTTTTCTGGTTATCCTAAATAATCTGTTCTTTCACCTTCCTTCCCCCTTGGCCTTTTCTTGACCCTTTGTTGACAATATCTCTTCCCTCCAATGCAATAACCACTTTTTCTTTGGTCACAGTTCATTTGGCTTTCTAAGATTTGATTGGCTTTGCTAATTTTATTTACTCTGCTTTTGTAAGGTTTCTTATATTTTCATTGTTCTCTCCAAAGCTTTGGATTTTCTCCAGAGCTTCTGAATCCCTTCCCTTAACTTTGCACTCTCAATGTTGACCAAACCACACACTAGAAGGTGAAGAGATGACGTTTCGGCCCGTCTTGTACCATTCTCGAGTCAATTGTGATCGACATGAAAATGGTCCAGGACAGACCGAAATGTCGTCATCTCTTCACCTTCTAGTGTGGTTGGTCAACATACTTCAGCCACGTTATTGTGACTCCTCATCTGCATTTGCGCACTCAATGTTTTCCCTAATTGTTGGCATACTTCCTATTGTTTCTTGCAGATCCTGAAACTTTTTCACCAGATCTTTCAGACTGTCTTATACAGTAATTCTTTTATTTTATCTTAAATTTTTCCTCTTTATACTCATTATTTTTTTAATTGGAAATCTGCACAATACTTCATTTATCCGAATATTTAATTGAAATGAAATATGTAATTAAATACACCAGCAATCATTAAAATTTAACTTTAGTATATTGAACATAAATTTCAAATACTGTACTACAATTAATAAAAAAATTAATATAACAAAACTAGGAAAAATATTATAACTTGAATGCTTCGGTTCCCCTTGAAGAAGTCAGCATCTCAAAATGGCTATCACTGAGCCCTGATCTCTTCAACTTGAGGACGTTTTTCCCAGAGAGAGACCCTCTCCTAGGTGGCACTGGAAGGGACAGGCATAATGAACTTAAGAAGCAAGCCTTCCAACTCTGGGCTGGGAAAGAAGCCATCTTCTTCTTGAGGTTATCTTGATGATTTCAGGGCTTAGCGTCCCCATGGCCTGGTCCTCAACCAGGTAATAAAAACCTCATTTTTATTACACACCCCTAGGAAGCAGCTGTCTAACTCCCAGGTACCTATTTACTGCTAGGTGAACAGAGCATCAGGGTGAAAGAAACTCTGCCCAATTGTTTCCGCCTCCACCGGCGATCAAACCCAGAACCTTAGGACTACAAATCCCGAGTGCTGTCCACTTAGCTGTGAGGCGCCTTCAGGCCATTGTTGATTCTACACAACTCGCGCAGATTTCAAATAAGTTGGTGCATAATATATTCCTTTATCAAATTGGAAATACAGACATTGTGTACTTGCAAATAACACACCTTAACATGTAGTGCTCTTCTAGTTTTTAACAATAAAAAAATAGGCCAAAGAACATCAAACTGTCTGGAATTGCTGTAAAATGAACCTGCAGATTAATTTATAATGAGGTCCAGATTTGGAGATTCCACTGTACAATAAACTTGGTCAAACACAAGCAGTATAAGTAGGCATTTCACATTAACTTACATTTATTACAAGAGACGTAATCCTGTGCTTTATGATAGCCATGGAGACGAGAATGCCGAGATGCTTCTAAATCCATTGCATCCCATGATCTCCATCTTCTCCGAAAGTGATTTGTTCTGGACTGAAACATAATTACATACAGTAATTTTGATAAAACCACTTCAGCTTATTTTAACAAATGAACTAGATATTGTACAGAATATTTTGGCAACACCCAATCAAGCAAGAAATTCCCACAATCGATTTGAGAATGGTCCAGGACGGACCGAAACGTCGTCGTCCCTTCACCTAGTGTGTGGTCTGGTCAAGAAATTCACAGTCCCTATGCCAGGAATAACCCACACTATAAATAATACCAAGAATGTTCTTAAATTCCACCCTTTTCCACATATATTTATATTTTAAAATATGAACTGGGGAAGAGATTGCATGGGGTAATTTAGAGGGTGTGGGTATAGGTTTGACATAGGGATGCAAATAATTATCAAAAGAAGACACAAAGCCAAGGAGACTATGTAACACCAGTGTCACTGAATATTCAAAAGGCTATTCAGAGGCTTCGGTGATATTCAAAAGAATATCACCGAAGAGGCCAATACGCGAACAAAAGCACATGAGGAGTGATATCGAAGGTATCAGATTCACTAAAGATTCTTCAGAGGGACGAATGATCATGAACATTTTGGAAACGAAATATGGACGTTCTGAAAATTAGGCCAATTCTACAAGGAGGTACACGACTGTAAAAGAGACGATGCAGTTCAGACAATAAGGACCAGGATGGTTTCCATTAAGTGCCTATGAGTTAAGCACATATGGCCAATATCTAACCTAACCAGAGCCATTTCTGCAGGGTGGGCCTCACTGCAGTTGATGCAGCATGCCTGGGAAGAAGAGCAATCTGTACAAGAATGTCTTGGGTCACCACACAAGGGACAAAGGAACAACTCGCTGCACCTGAAAGAACTGTGGGCCAAATTTCCAACAACTATTGAAGAGGAATGGAGAGGAAATGTACTCCTGAACAGAGCATCTGACACTCAAGAATGACAGAAGACAGAAGGGACCCAACATAAAAAATAATCTTAATAACTAAAGGGGGATGAGTGAAGGTGTTAATCCAGAGTATAGAAAAGCCCTGGACCTCGAGGATATATTTAATATCATCATGGCAATCTTTGAGGTCCCTATCTCCAGTTGCAACATGGTGTGGGAGAATGACAGTACTAATGCTGGCATTCAACAGGGCATTTTTGGACACCTGAACCGGGGTCTACCCAATGCAGGACAAAATAGCTAAGCAAGTGGCTGCCCCCTAAAAAAAGAGCCACAAATACACGAGTGCTAGTCCAGGTGGGGTTAAAAGTAACTTAGGAATCCAGAGTCAACCAAGTGCTCATGGCTGTGCATGTCATCAGGATGGATATGTTCATCATGAGATAGATCAAAATATTAAGGCCCACATAGCAGGGCCAAAAAAATCTTGGAACATAGCAGAGGTAGAAGGAAGCAAACAAGTGAAAGTGTGGTAACAGTGATGAGTAATTCCCATGAAGAAAGGGGTAAAGGACACAGGTGTCACAATAGCAGACGGAGCCACACTAGGAGGCGAGGTAGTTGCCATTGGGAGCTTGTAACTCAACCCTACCAAAGAAATGGCAGGAAAACATAGAGTCAGTTGGGATAGTCTTGGACAAAGCCTGATCTGGGCCCACCACAGCCGGAGCCATGGCGCCTGCTCTTCCAACATAGTCTGACTCTGGAGAGGGGACTAGTCACCCACCTCAGTAGTCTGAGAAGGGGAAAAAGAGGGTCAAAGTACTGTATACATAAAAGTAATCTGAGAAAGACTTTGCTGCCCAGCACCCTCACCCTCTGCAGAGCCCACATGGGAGGCACTAGCATATGGGGCAAGCAACCCCAGGGGTAACTGGAACAGTATATACGAGTACCCATTGAAGGGCCAAATGGTATCCCAGTAACTGATAGGGATATCAACCCCACAATACCAACTTCATCCTATGTATAACTAGGCAGGGCTAATTAGATGCGCCAATTGATTCAGGTGGGCCGCACTGAACCTCCCATTTTACCCCCGCCCCCTCACCAAAGAAGTGTTGCTCCCTAAAGGGGCCTCAGCCGCTGAGTAGGCTCAACTTTGAACATAAGGGTATGCACAGGTCTCCATACACAGTCAACATATGGGGATGTATTTATCTTGTGCACACAGCAGGCAGGAGAGGGGAGCAGAATCCACCCGAAGACGGTGCACAAGAGACCCCCTCACCATTCCAAGGCACTGTCCACAGAGGGAGGAACAGTACCTGAGAAGCCCTAAGTGGATCATCAGATGCTTTCTAATTAAAATAAACATCTTTAGATATACTGATTAAAAAATAATGAATGAAATTCATGTCAAGCCCATTCTTTAGTAAATTATCAAATCAAGAAATTATAGTTTTAGGTTCTTAATTACAATGAGGTAAGAGGTGTCATTTATTGCATATTTTCCAGCTAAAATATTTAAGAAGAGTAACTTGACCTAATTATATTTGATGCCAGAATGGAAACATCTGTCAACACAGTTAAATTTAAATGTACTTTAAGAGAATATGAGTTTGCATTATATGCTATTCATATAATCAAAACAGAATATGACAAGTATCAACATACATATTTTCTGTACTGGCATTATACTCCTTAATTTTTGAACAATGTCATTCACTAACTTACCAAGTGTTCATCATTCCGATAATCTTCCTCCAGCTTTTGTTTTAGGTTTTTCACTAGTTCAGTTCTTGGCTCATAAGGAATCCTTTTCGTAAACACAGGTTCTTCTTCACTGTCCGAGTGAAGCATAGGTGATGGCAGCTTCTTTTGTACAGGATTTCCAGTTTCATATAATGATGTTTTTGTAGAATCTTTCAAATCTGATGGTGTATGAGAATTGGCTTTATGTCTCTCACATAACTCACAGAAATTTTCATCATTAAAGTAATGCCATCCCCCATACCTTCTGCACAGTAAACACGGCTCTTCACTTTCATATTTTGATAAATATTGTATGGGATCCAATAAGTAGTCTTTATCATGATGTGCATCTGATTTGTATGTCATTCTGTCTAATAAAGAAGTATGAGGATATTGATATCTGGGCAAGTCACAGAGCCTGCAATATTCTTCTCTAGTTTTTCTTTCTCTATTAAATTTCACTGCATTATCACTATCATCTAAATCATTACCAGGCTGTGACTGATAGTTAGGGGAAGCTAATGTTTGAGATTGGTCCTTAATGTTGCTGGAACTATTAGGGTGGTCTGAGTAGTTGTTCAATGAAAAGTCTGAGCAATCACTGTCGTTTTGGCTATGGTCTTGACTGGAATCAATTTCTCTAAGAGTATTTATATTCTTACCAAGTTGAAAGTTGTTAACCTTTCTTGATCCATTTTGTTTGATGGATTTCTCAGAGAACTGAACTTTTTTCTTAGAATTTTCCTTGTTCTCTTGTGTATTTCCATTATTTCTAACACATTTACTGTAGGCATTTAATGCTTCTTCTCCAATATTGTTTGAGTATGCATCTACACCAGGTCTCCAATTTCCATCAAGTATAGACACAGAGTCATGTGTTTCTTTATAATTTTTACGTCCATTCATCTCGCCTCTCGGTAGTGAACGGGTTGAAATCAACATTCTTCGTGGCATATCAGATATTCCAGATTTTTTTCTTTCTTTGTTCACTCTCTTCTTAATGTCAATAACAGAACATTGGCATTTAGGTCTCAAATGGTTGCAATTTAATCTAGTCTTTGTTGGTATCCCAATAACGGTAGTTTTTGAGTGAGGTTTATTAATTTCACTACTTGCTGATTGCAAATGCATGTGTTGGACTGGCTGTGTAACTTGGTCCATGAGGGATGACTTGAGAGGAGATGAAAGAAGAGTTCGTTTTCTTGGAATTTTCTTTGTTCCTACATTCCGTAATTTGTCTCCTTTCCTGAAAAATATAAAAATCAGGTGTTGAATGCAATGAGAGACACTCTTCTGGCTGACCACTAATTAGATCCTCAAGCTATGACACTGAGGATGCCAAGCCTCTGATACCTCTCTTGAACCTACTTGGAGCCAGGACCAGAATTTAGCTCTTTATGAAATAAAGGGAGCTTGAGGATCAAATATGAGTTCTTAGACAAAATCCAGCAGAAACTACTGCATAAGTACTGTACTTTAAAACCAGAAGCTGCTTGAAGGAAATTGGTAAGGTAGATTTAAACAAGGCAAACAGTCACTGCAGAATGGTAAACACCATAAGTTTATTATCCAGTGGGTGAAACAGCATTTCCTGCTTTCTATCCTACACTATAGCTTGAAGGTGTTGCCCCTTGTGTGAATTACACTTAGCTTTTTGAAGAAGTGGAATGTACCAATTGAGACAGGTCTGGAATGATGCTCAACTGGTGTACTGAATAACTTGTACATGTGAATAGCTGGTATGTGAATGTCATGTAGGCCACTAGTAAAGTTGCTCACATGGCATTGGAAGGAGACAATGTTTTGTGGCCTCCTCTCATTGCATTCAGGGTAATTGCCCTCCAAAGTGAGCTGTTATGAGAAGGCAAGAGAAAATTGCAAAGGCCCTTGGCTCCAGAAGATTATAAAAAAAGTCTCACAGTACATGTTATTGGATAGTTTGATCCATGTTATTGGATAGTTTGATCCATGTTATTGGATAGTTTGATCCATGTTATTGGATAGTTTGATCCATGTTACTGGATACTTTGATCCACAACGCCCAGTGCATAAGCTCAGGTGCTACTGTGGAGGAAGCCCAACAAATAGATTTATGTTGAGTTATGAGTTGTGTGCTAATGAATGACTTCTCAATTACTCTATTAAACATTTGATTAAAATGATTTTATCAAATAATTTCAGCATACAATCTGTAAACAAGACCCTACTAACCAAGAATGAAAACAAAATATGATTTCTTCCAAAGAACCTGTGGATAATATTGCTTGGAAACTTTTTACTTTACACATCTTAAAATTACAGTATAAGAGTACATAAACCAAGAGAGAGAGAGAAAACTACAGACTGCTTCTGCAAGGTAATGAGAAAGTAAGTGATGTTATCTTTTTCTTTTAATTGGGGAACAAAAATCCATAACTATCAAAGTCGATTGATTTCCAATAAATATAGAAAAATACAATACTGTATAACTGCCCTTGTAGTCTGAATAATTTTAAGCATCTATTATTTAGTAATTAGAAGAGTAAGTAACTTCATTCATGATTAATTAATCTTGATACAGTATTCATTTAAGTGAATAAAACTTACGTGGCCATAATAGGTCCGCAAAAAGTAACTTTCTTCTGAAGAGGAGTGTTTGTATTTTTTTTTTTAATACGTTCCTTGGCGCCACTCTGCAGCATCTTACTGTCTTTTCATTAACAAATGACAAACTGAAAATAAGAAGTACTGTATGTATTTGTATTTTATTTATTTTATTTATTTACATGGAAGAAGGAACATTGGATTTAGAAAGTACATACATTGAGGTTAGAGCATAACATTCTTATAGAGCCACTAACATACACAGCATTTCAGGTAGAATGTATGTGCAGGATGTAAATGTGTTGTAAACCGACATACAAATTTTAGTAAAGTACCAAACTGCACAACTATTGTACTAGTTGTTATTTGTTTCTAACCTCTCTGAGATACCTTATACAAAAATACTATATATACTAACTTTAACTAATTTGAAAGTGAAAAATTAATTTGAAACAAACAAATATTTAATTGATATTAAATAATTCAAATTATATGCTGTATCTACCATTCCACATTGTATATCTAAAACTTCACATGAATTCAAACATGATTTAAATTTTGCAAAACTCCCAAAGCCTAATTACTCTTAAATACTTTTATACTAAATTAATGTAACAATTGTCACATTATATAAATACAGTTTCCAATTGTTAGGCTTACCAAGATCCTTCTAGGCCAACGGCAAACCTTCCCCAGCATGTAACCCACCACAGTTGTCTAACTCCCAGGTACCTGAATATAAACAATATTAATATACAGTACAGTACTCTGTGTACTGAAAAAATATTATTATTATTATTATTATTTTATTATTATCATCATTGACAAAATTTACAAAACAAATTTCAAATTACCAATACTGATAAACAAAGTTCTGTGGACAAACATAATTATCAAAATACTGTAATATTGATGATGAAAAAAAAGAGTATAATTAATTCAATTATAATTTTTTAATAAGCTAATTATTGGAGACATTAAACCGAAGGGAAGGAGAGATTATAGTTATACGAGTGATAACAATACTGAAAGATTAACTTAAACGTTTAAGTAGAGATAATAGACATTATATTAATATTGATGATATTGAGAAGCAAAATTAGAAGTTTAGCATAAAGATGTTTTTGTTCAAACTGTCTGTAACTAACCTGGAGAAGCAAGGCGGGACTCATGGCCCGGGCTCTCGCCAATCACATGCTTTAGTTTAGTTGATTTATTATGCACTCCATACCTATCCCGTGGGCAACATACTGAATATTCTTTTAACTCGGGTAAGTTCGTCTCTCAAACACAGGCTCATACATCAGACCCTTAAGTCCTGACCCACTGAGAACTCCTGCCAACTGTGCGGTGTTGTGTTCCTGTAACTCTTGCACTTCAATCCGGATTCTTTGCTCAGGTATTCCATAAGCTCATTTGTAAATAATTCATAATTATGAATAATTTACAAATGAGTTTAAGAAAACATAAGAGAAATGGTTCAATTATATTAAGATTACAATTTATTTTAAAGGTAAAACTAAACAGCCTCGAGGATGACCACACAAATCACTGGAATACCATGTTGAAATAGCAGAGCTACTCGCTAAGCTACTCGCAAAAATGAACCACAAAAACGTTCAGGGAATTCAGAGGCAAGAGCTAGTATATACTGTACAGTCTCTGACCAACACACTGTAATCCGTCATATGTTATAGGGCAGCAACACGAACATTGCTATATACCTAAGTTTGGGGCGCAGCAGTTGCTTAATTTAGAACCGTACTTGAGATAACTCCATAGTCTCCTGAGACACATGGATGCCTACTACTACTACTACTTGAGGTCGATCTCGAACCCATTGTTGATGTGACGACTTATATTGAATTTTGTAACTAGCTCATCAAGATTGTAACTTGCTTAGCTGAATGAATTGTGGGGTTCAGTCCCTAAGCCCATTATGTGCCTCTAACCCTTTCCACTACCGCCCACAAGATGGGTATGGGGTGCATAATAAATGAACTAAACTAAAAAAAACTCCGATCCCACGATCGTCGTCGGGTATGGGGTATGGGTATGGGGTGCATAATAAAGAAATTGAATTGATCGTCATCGCCCCTAAAATCGACAACAACATACCTAAGTTTGTTTATAAAACTATCCACTAGGGGGGGGGGGGGGGAGTGCTCCATCCCCCCAGTAAAAGTACTCACCCAGTTGTGTTTGCGGGGGTTGAGCTCTGGCTCTTTGGTCCCGCCTTTCAACTGGTGTTGAGAGGCGGGACCAACCCGCCATTGTCAGCCACCCATTGATTGTCAACCCAATCTCCCAATCTTTATGTACTTAATCCAAACAACTTTATCATTGTGTTCATTGCTGTCTTCTTTTATGTGCTAGCCATATGCTGTATTGTGCCTACTAATTTTTGTTAAACTACCATTCAAGCTGTCATTGCAATCAATCTGAGCTGCTTATGTGCTTTAATATACCTACAATTTTTCTCTCATCTTTTATTTTTTTTCTTGCTATGTAACTGTTATCATTTTTATAAATTTTGCAAGTATTTACCTACTTAAAAATTTTTTAGATTAAGAACCTGCCCGAAACGCTGCGCGTAATAGTGGCTTTACAAGAATGTAATTACTATGCTATGTATCCTCACAATCCCAATGTACCTTCTTGTATATATATAAATAAATAAATAAGTAAATAAAGTGTACAGATTCCTGAGCCTATTGGGCTTTATCATATCTATATTTGAAACTGTGTATGGAGTCAGCCTTCACCACAGCACTATTAATGCATTCCATTTGTTAACTACCCTGACACTGAAAAAATTCTTTCTAACGTCTCTGTGGCTCATCTGGGTACTAAGTTTCCACCTGTGTCCCCTTGTTCGTGTTCCACCCGTGCTAAAGAGTTTGTCTTTGTCCACCCTGTCAATTCCCGAGAATTTTGTAGGTGGTTATCATGTCTCCCCCTTACTCTTCTGTTTTTCAGGGTTGCGAGGTTCGTCCCCCTTAGTCTTTCCTCGTAGCTCATTCCTCTCAGTTCCGGGACCAGTCTGGTGGCATACCTCTGAATCTTCTCTAACTTCGTCTTGTGTTTAACTAGGTATATGGACTCCAGGTTGGAGCTGCATACTCCAGGATTGGTCTTACATAAGTGGTATACAGGGTCCTGAACGATTCCTTACACGAGTTTCTAAAGGCAGTTCTTATATTGGCCAGTCTAGCATATGCCGCTGATGATATCTTTTTGATGTGGGGCTCTGGGAACAGGGTCGGTGTGATATCGACCCCCAGATCTTTCTCTCTCTCTTCGGGGGTTTCACCTCCCAGATGGTATCTTGTGTTCAGCCTTCTGCTCCCTTCGCCTAATTTCATTACTTTACACTTTCCTGAGTTGAACTTTAGCAGTCATTTTCTAGACCGTTACTCCAGTTTGTCCAAGTCGTCCTGTAGTCTCTGTCAATCTTTATCTGTTTTGATTCTTCTCATAATTTTTGCATCATCAGCAAACATTGAGAGGAATGGGTTATACCCTCTGGAAGGTCGTTTACATATACAGTACTAGAAACAGGATGGGTCCGAGCACAGAACCCTGTGGAACCCCGCTGGTGACATCTCGCCACTCTGATGTTACCCCCTCACCGTTACTCGCTGTTTCCTATTGCTTAGATACTCCCTTATCCACTGGAGCACCTTACCTTTTACTCCTGCCTGATGCTCCAACTTTTGTAACAGCCTTTTGTGAGGTATTGTGTCAAAGGCTTTCTGACAGTCCAAGAAAATGCAATCTGCCCACCCTTCTCTTTCCTGCCTAATTTGTGTTGCTTGGTCATAGAATTCTATTAGGCCTGTGAAGCATGATTTACCATCTCTGAACCCATGCTGGTGGTGTGTTACAAAGCTGTTTCCCTCTAGATGTTCTACGAGCCTTTTCCTCACTATCTTCTCCATCACCTTGCATGGTATACAAGTTAGGGAAACTGGCCTGTAGTTCAGTGCCTCTTGCCTGTCACCCTTTTTGTAAATTGGGACTACATTAGCTGTCTTCCAGCTTTCAGGAAGGTCTCCCATTTCCAGTGACCTGTTATACACCATAGAGAGTGGCACACTTAGTGCTTCTGCACCTTCTTTTAGAATCCACGGTGAGATTCTGTCAGGCCCAACAGCCTTTGACACATTCAGCTTCAACAGATTCCTTTTGACCTCATCACTGGTGAGGTAAAATTCCTCCAAGGTAGTTCGGTTTGCCTCCTCATTTAGTGCAGGGACCTCTCCTTGTTCTATTGTGAAGGCTTCCTAGAATCTCTTGTTGAGTTCTTCACACACCTGTGGTGGATGATCCCAAGTGATTATTTGGGGATCTAATGCTCATCCAGGTCGGTTTTACCTTTATTTTTTTTATATATACAAGAGTTATTGCATTCCTGTACATCCACTAGAATGCACAGTGCTTCGGGCAGGTCCTTATCTTAATTTTCTTTCAGCCAAGCCCTTGCAAATTTCAAAGCTTTCTCAAGTTTCTTTTCAGGCTGGTTCTGGTCCTATGGTACCAGAGCCAATTAATGCAATAGGAAGGGAGAGTCCAGAAAATCCCTTTATATACTGAATTTATTTACCCTATTTATGCACATTACGTATCCTTAAACCATTTAGGGTATGTTTAGCATTTTTCCTTGTATAAATAATGGAATAAATTTCAAGGGTTTATCCATTTTAAAATGCACAGCATAAGTATTGAAATAAGACCACCACAAGGCATCTATATAAGCACAAAACATAAAATACTGTACTTTCATTTCTGGTGTGTAAATAAGACAGAAATCAATTTCCTTATTATTTAATTTATTAATCAACCAACGCAGATTTTTCTGCAAAATGTGTTCTGAAGAATAAATAAATTGTGGCACACTAATACATAACTAAAATTAATCAAACCATACAACATTGAAAACATTGCATATAGGGTAGTTTGCTTCCATGAAAAGACATGATGTTCAAACTGGGAAATAGTAAGAGATTCAGTGAAAACTGTAAAGCAAAAAAACAGAACACATCCAATTATAGATACATATCTTTAATTAACATCTAAATTATAATTGAAGAACACAAAATGAAACCTCCAAATCAACATTATACTGTACTATACAAATAAAGCAATATTAATCACATTAGCCATAATGTTATCAGATAGTCAACAACAACAAAAAATAATAGTATTGTCCAGTAAACTTGTAGTCCTGCATAGATGGTGAGATCCAACACTAAAAATTTTGAGCATTTTTTTGTTAAATGCAGCCAACTCCGAAGTTTCCATGTCAATTTGACCTATTGGTACCAAGAAAATGCAATGTATCTAACTTGAAAGGGAACATTGATCATATATAATTTTGTTGTATATGGTTTCTCAAAACTCTAATTCTATGTTATTGTGCAGTGTCCATTAAAGAAAAATTTTCAAACACAAGTAGACAGCCCATCCTCCTGTTTTGGTAGTACAATGTACTTACTGTACCTATAATAACGATGAGGACCATAGTATATATACCGACGTACAACGAAATTATAAAGAAATCTGAACTATTGAATTGGACAAACTGGGAAAACAATTTTTTACTTGTGTTGCTTTGACAAACTAAACTAACCTATCCTTCCTAGGCCTAATACACGATATCTGAGGCCTAACATAGTACATGTGTCTGCTATACTCGGGGGGAAAATTCTTTACTAGTCAGTATACTACTATCTAAAAGCCAAGTACGTACGAATTCATGACTATTGACGATCATCACAAAAGGTACTACAGTATCTAAACAGGAGGATGGATTGCAGTAGAACAATAGGTAAAAATAGGTGTTAACCCAAATGCCCCAAAATATTTGCTTTTCTACAAGATTGTAGAGCATAACATATAAGATTAAAACAAAATTTTATTTGAAAGTATAATTATATTTTAAGTACTGTACTGTACTTTCTTCAAAACTGTATGTTATACTTTCATTGACTAGCATTTGTACAAATCTGTACACATCCATGTAAATTGAATACCAGATTTTAGAGACAACATTATTGTACATTCTGATCTAAAGAAATTCTACTCAAAAAAATCACAAAAAGAATGTTTTCCATACCTGTACTATATTAGAATTTTCCTGCTGCCAAGATGCTGCTGGTGCTCTTACAGCCATTGACCATTCTAAATTTCAGGGATGAACTGATTGATGCACGTCTATCATAGCATGAAACTACACCAGTCAAGCAGATACTGGCTTAACAAAAAAAAAATGTACACCATCAGTTCATGGCAGCAAGGTTGAGAAAATGTACAGATTCTTGTCACTGATGGAGGTGCAAGGATCAAAGTTACAGTATACCATCTCCCCCAGTTCAGTAGGTCCATCTACAGAATAAAACTTGATAATGAAGAGCTTTCTATTTTGTTTGCCAGCTCGTCCTCCAAACAAAGACCCAAAAGTGATTCCATTCACCCACCAAACCCCCTGTTTATGAATGAAAAACGGTTTACACACAACTCGCAACTGATTTCGAACACTTCCGGAACAAGTGCTTTACTGACAAATTTTGTTCGAACCACAACGCTGTAAATGCTTCACCCACGTACTACAAATATAAATAATTGTCAACAGAACCTAAACATCTAACCTAACCTATGCCTATATATGGTCAATATGCTATAATATAAATTTACATTTGAAGAAATTCCCGTTTTGAATGAACAGCATGTACAAATTTATGAATGTGTCTGTGGGGTTGACCGCTGGATGTAATGAACTTGAGTCAAGGACGGGTTGTGTCTGCAATTACCCCACCCTACCTTTAACCCCATTATTCAAAGAAACTTCTTGACTTGCCAAAGAGGGTGAGCAAAACCTTGCCACTTATATAAACCAACTACTGTATTTAAATGTTGTAAACTATTGTCCCATGACCCAACTCTTCAAATTTATGTTAAGGCCATCAATGAATGTCTTTATTAATTCAATTACAACAATATGAAATTATATATGATACTCCCAATTCAATTTGTTCTGCCACATGAGGCGAAATTATAATTTCACTTGGTAGAAGCTACTAAGAGAAATCAGAATTTCACCTCATTACAGATATCCAGATATAGAACCTATGTATACAAAGCTCTCGAATCTCTCTTTCCCAGGGTTGTTTTCTGCTATATTAATGAACTACTGTAATTCATATTCAACAGTACAGTACCATACTTTAATTTAATAGTTAAATACCTTAAACTAAAAACTAGTATTCCTAATAAGATCAATACAGTAAAAATGTGTTATATTTGAACACCAGTTACATAAATTGACTGCTTACCCACTTGTGGCTTGTCTGGTTTGTGTTAATAAAGTTGTCTGGTTAAATATGAAACTTATCAGCTACTGAGGTACAACATGAAATGTTTTTAAATGTTGTACGAGGTATACGGGTATATGACATCACCTCCCTTTGTATCGTTGGACTTATTTTTAATGATGAGAAACATCTTTCTATTATATTGGCTCAATACTGTATACAGCAACTAAGTGAAGCAAGTCTTAAATATAGCACCAAAGCAATAAATTTCTTTAATAATTTTTTTGTATTATTTGTAGCCTCCTGCTAGACAATACAACTGTTCTGTCTCATGGTAATGATGGTGCATCTGTGGCCATACCTGGCTATGCCTTAATCCAACTGAAAGTGTATGCTTGGTGATTAGATTATGCACCAGCAGCAATAGTCTGCTGGTGGCCAATCATGGCCTGGTATGCCATCTGTTACCCCTGGGCAGATCCCAGGGGTAACAGCAATTTATATTGAATTAGCAACATAAGGTAGGTGCAAGCCATATAAGAACAGTTGGTAAGAAAGTTGTCCAATCCTGAAATTAAGAACAATCTACAAGATGACAACCAAGTGAAACCATACATTTCTGACAGCCATCAAGTGCCCATGAGTTAATCTTATGTTGCCAATATGTCTTTGCCAAAGAGATTTCACATCGTGTTCTGTTGACCAGAGGATACCCACAGGTATAATCCCAAGTACAATATATGCCATAAATTGTTCTGATCTTTTTAAATAAATTGGCCCCATTACAAAACTTTCTAGGGTAACACTACTAGGATTATTCCCAAGAAAAAGAGGGCATGTGTATGTGTGTGTAGAAAATTTGGTGTAAATAAGCTAATTCATTATTAAAATACACAAATACCCAATACAAATATATGAAAAGAAAGGGAAAGTGACAACATTTCAGCGCATATTGGACCTAATCAAGCCACACTAATACAAGTCCAGGATGGACCAAAAATCATAAAATTCCTTTTTCATATACAGTATGTGGATTGATTCATTTATTTTAAGCATCATTATTGTGACATTATCAACATTAAGATGAAACTTTCTCTCAACAGTGTGTTAATATAAATATAAAATCAGCTGCCAGGGGGCTACATGGCTTAATATTAATTAATAGGGACCTTTCTTGACCCCCTAGACATAAGTTTTGAAAAGTTTCACGCCAATATACAAAGGCATTATCCAGATATCGCACATAAAATGGACATTTTGGAAAAAATGCAAAATTATTAGAACCATAATACTGTATACCTCAAACGGGGATACCTAAATATACATCATGTGGTCAAAATGAAGCCTTTGCAACTCATCTATAAGTAACAGGAAATTAATTGGATACCAGAAATACATTAAAATTAAAACTAGAAAATTAAAATAAACACCAATAACAAGAAATTCTAACAAGACCAAAACACCAACAACAGGAAACACCAGCGTGACCAAAACAAATTACAGTAATACCAAAAAAATTGTCTAAGAAAATCTAATATTAACTGTTACAGCAATATAACTATGTGTTCTGATGTGTATCATGTCATGAAGATTACAATTATACACATATGTATTAACTGCTTGACAATTTTGCAAGATACACTAAATGATTTGTGGCTCAGCTTTAATTATTGATCAAAATGATCTTCAACAAATCAATATTGATGAAGCTGGATGAGAATGATTAAAATACAGTGTGGCCTCAAAACTCTACAACTCAATGTAACTGAAACCTTAAAAAGACATTGCTACCAGTTAAAATATAAAAAAAAAAAAAAAATAGAAACAAATTTCCAGACTTTCAGTACAGTCTATTTAACACATGTACACAAATCTGAACCAATTCAACATAAATACTGGCAAAATTGATTTATTCTACAATATGTAAACATTTCAAAATTAAACAAGTGGTGGTAGAATGTGGCATGTTCTGTGACCGACTCAGTCCTACCACATATTGTGACCTCTCCTGGCCACAGTATGTCTCCCCACACTGATACAAACAACCTCTTGTTACGCATATGATTTCCACCGATTTTTTTAGGTCACTGCATTTGCGAGCAGAAAATGTTTGACGGCAAACATAGTCAGGCTAGACCAGATAGGACGAAGAGGTACATTAACTATGATGAGAAGGCTAAATTGATGGTGAAAAGTGATGAAGGATGGGAGAGATGAGTGTGGTGTTGGCAATAACACCTGAGAAAAGAAAGAAAGAAAAAATGTGGAAAATAAAGATTTTAAAATTCATTACTAAAAGTGTGTTCTGAAGGGCAAAAAATAATGCACTATGGCTCAAATTTTGATGAGGTATATCAAGAAAAATTCCAGTTTCTAGTAAATAATTTACATTACAAAAATTCATTTATATTATTTCCGTGCAAACAGGCAAAAAAAAAAAGTACCGTACTTTTACCAGTTTTAGAAAATGAATCCCCCCCAACAAAGTTGTCAAAAATTAATAAAAAATCAATATTAGGTTAAAACAGGAATTTTAGAAAAGCCAGGCAAGGTCCAAAATTGCACACAGTAATAGTTAGTCAGAATTTCCAAGATCACACTGTATTATGCATCCTCATCTACATGCATACATATTATATATAAAAAAACAAGCATATAATGAAACATTTGTATCTTTTATGCAACAATTCTCCATTACTCAATTTCAATACGTAATATTTTAGCATGAAGTACATAAACTTATATACTGTACAGTACTTATATTAGCATAAACTAACATATTATAGTACTTATTAAAGCATAAGTACTTACTAGTATAAGTACTTATTATAATATAAACGAGGTATGGTGACTTAAAAACAAACACCTGTATATCACTTAGGCATAGCAAGGAATGGGAGAAGTTAACACATATTCACCGTGTTCTAAGATATAGAAACAACAGATGTACATTATTGCTCAAGTATACTCTGGTGATAGAACCCACTATAGTATACACAGGTGATGCAACCCTCCCTAGTATACACAGGTGATGCAACCCTCCCTAGTATACACAGGTGATGCAACCCTCCCTAGTATACACAGGTGATGCCACCCTTCCTAGTATACACAGGTGCAAATTAACATGAAGCAAAATATGGCATGTCAGTTTTGAAAATAAAAGATGAAGTTACCTTTATAGAAAAGAAAATAGTCTTTTGCTGGAGTGGTTAAACATGAAAAAAGAGAGTTAAAGCAATCTAGACAGTTAAGGTACTGTATTAACAAGATAAATATTTTATGTGGTTAACAGATGAAACAGATACTGTAATACAATATTTTCACGCATGTATTATTGAGTTGACAAAGTTATAAAAAGGTGTTCTGAATTTTTAAGCACAAGTTGCACAGTAAAGCCTTGAGGGCAGAACAACATTTTTCACGATACAGGTATTTGGTGACAAAACTACTATATAAACGAATGCATTAGTCTAAATAAGCTTAGCAAGGCTCTTGCAAAACGCATTTAATCTTTTCATATCTTGTTACCTTGTACTGTATCTATTACACTAGCTACTTTCTTGTCAGCCAAACATCATGCATGGTTGGTTTGGTAGATAAATTTTTTCTTCTATAATTACAAGATGCAATCACTATTATCTTTGCATACTCTGCTATAACAATGCCCATGCTAACGACATAACCATATAACCATTCTCACTTTGTGAGAAAAGCTTCTTGTGACTATATAACCATATAGTCATTCTTAAAGTACTGTATCTCTTATCATCTATTAACTCAGGAATACCTAACCAATCACAGTTTTTTAAATTATTGGTCATTCAACATTAAATTCACTGCCATGTAATCTGATTAACATTCCCACTTTGAATACAGGATTTGAACACACGACCACCACTATTCCTCTTATAGACAACTCGTGTCGTCTTTATACATGTACGTTCCGATAATAATGAGATCTTATACGAGCTATCGTGTTGAACTACAACACTTGAATTGGACTATTTATGAACACATCATCTTTGTTACATGATTAGCATATGCCTTTCTCATAAACACTATCAGATATTTTATACTACATTTATTACCAAATATTGCTAATTACTGTAATAATGTTTGTTATATAGAACCCTTAAGTAAGCAAGTTCAAAAGTTACATCAGAACAATGTACAAATTAATAGCCATAGTGCAAAAATATTGTATAATACTCTTATGTACCCTAAACCAGCTCACACAATTTCTCTAATTCAGTCAGCTGATAAGCATATAAATATATTGTACAGGTAATATCAAATTTATTCATACAACTTACAATACGTATTAACATAGGTTTTTGGTAAGTTACACAGCAATGAATCCTGCATGTAGCATAGCCAAGCAAGGACTGATCTGAAGAGGACAACTTTTGGAACCTCTTCCTTAAGGAATAATGGGAACTGCAGATGGCAATTGGCCCATATGAGGTAGCTCCTATTTATATTCACCAAACTCATTCATATTCATATTTATATATATAATATATGTATGTATGTATGTATATGCATGTCTAAACTACACTTGAAACAATCCAGTGATTGCCAAAAATAGAATGTGGTCAATTAGACCTTAGCCCCAGTGGTGTAATGGAGTGAGATGCACCATACAACTTGATAATGGTTCAAGACAGACCGAAACGTTGTTTCTCCATCTTCTGATGTGTGGTTTGGTCATCATATTTTTAGCCACGTTATTGTGACTCTTTGTCTGCAAATGCACACTAAACTAGTGGGATAATCTCACAATGCTGTAGTCTGGTGATGGTCACATTAAACACCCCGTATAAACAGTTATAAGGCATGCACAACTGTCTTAAGTTGGCATTTATATGTATAAAACATTGCATCAGCCACATTGCATAAAAAATTGTATGAAAGGAACACATATTAAAAGTTCTTTTTTTTTAATATTGAACCACATGCAAGGATTTGGCATTTTTTTTTTTTTTTCAAATTTGAATATCTTCACATTTTAAAAGAAAAACCAAGAATAAGCGTGAATAAATTTAGCCCATTAACATACTTTGGGGGTTAAAAAACTTGACATTAGTATACAAAATAGATCAGATCCACACAGAGCCTTAGATTATCTTTGCAAGCTATAGCAAATTATCTCCACAACAATTTTATGTTTTACCCAATTGTGAAAGACCAAAACCTGTCTGATAGATGTAACAGGTAACATTGCTTGTATATATATATAATTAACACCTGTCAGCCTTGAGTTAAAAAATTAACCAGTTACATTATTTCTGTAATATGCTACTCTATTATTTTTACAAATTTTGTTAAATAATTCATATACTGTAGCTAACAGTAGCACAATGGCTACTAGAAAGCACCAGGACAAATAACTTGTTTAATCAAAACTGAAACACTACCTGTACAAAATGGCCTTAAGTATGTTTAGTCAAATTAATTTCCCAGCCACAACAGCTAAACATACCATACTATATAAAATGATCATACACAATACTGTACTGTACTCTACCTCTAAATACACTCATTGAGGATATACACTTGGAATGACTGGCAAGCTTAAGAAAACTATGCTGGAATGATCAAGTACTGTATAGGCATTGAAAACTACGATCGTAAGAAAGCGTTGCATTTCACAATTAAATAGCAACAAATTATGTACTGGTACTTACTTTGACTCAATGTTTGTCGCACTGTAAGGTGTGAAAATAATTTTGTGCATGGCCACTGAAAGTTGCCTACAAAATACAAGAAAATCATCACATCTCTTCATTGTGTACAGTGTGAGGGAATTATATCACTTGTCCTCAATGGGAATGGTGAGCAGTGCCTCCACAAAAGGACGTGCAACGTTCAAACAAATTTTGCTGACCAGAACACAACCACCGTTATCAACTATAGTATAGGATAATTGGTGCACTGCTGGGGAAAGGGGTCCTCCATAATGTCAGAGGGAGCATGTGATGGGTGGCATCCATGAGGTTGGAGAGTGCACATGGTGTGGGGAAGGGATGCCTCCATAATGTTGGAGAGTACACATGGGGTGCAAGGCCTCCATAATGTCAGGGAAAGAGAATGGTGTGTGCCACCATAATGTTGGAGGCCACACATGGCGAGGACAACATGGATACCGAGCTCCAAGTGTCATCATTTATAAAATGCTCGTTAGACAACAGATGATTCTACCACTAGAAGGGGTGACAGGAGATGGGCCCTATGTCTCACGATGAAACTTCCACAAAAGAAACAGTAAACACTGCAGTCATTCTCATCAAATCAGCAATAGTCCAGTGTGTCTTGAATCCCTGTACCGTAAGTTGGACACTCGAGGTTTCAGTACTGAGGGATCATTGTCAACTGAGCACAGAGCAAACCCTGGGTAAGGGTATAATGTTTAAGTTTCACATCAAAGCAGCTTCTCTGATGCAGCCTTAGCCATTGGAAATCACAGAGCTTGGACTGTCCTCAGCTACACACACACAGTCACATGCACATTCTGGCAAAATTTGAAAGTCAAATGTTCCTATAAAGGTTATAAGAATAGGGGATCACTCCACACAACCTCACATTATGTTCAAGGTTTTAAGTTCCCAATATTGACGGACTTTGTCAGCAGTTTGGGCAGTCACTTCACATGCTCAAACAAAATCTACTATGTAAACTGAACCAGCTCTAAACATGACCACCTTGAAAACAGGGTGTGTTTTCAAGGTCATCATGGTCTAAGAATAAATTGAAACAACTGGGTTCCAATATGGGATCTGTTCAAAAGGCTTCAAATGACTTCTGTTTCACAGCGCATACTGAACAGATGCGATTGCGAAAAGCGCAAAAGATACAGCCAGCTGCCACAAAATCTAATACCACTTAGCATCTCCTTTGAGGCAACTCATTGATTCTACAACCTGCAACACCTCAGCCAAAGTAATGAAGAAAACATGACAGCCAGGGAGTGCAGCTGGCATGATATAAGGTTTTGTCAGAAACAAGATTCATCACTTAAGCAAAGTACTGTATGTGGGTTCACAGTCCAAACAATCTTCTCGTGGGTGGAACCAATACAAAATGGAGCCCTGCGTACTACAATGGGTGCTATTGTATATTTGCCAATCCTCTCCCTAGGGGGTCTTGCCCTTCAATTTGCCAATACTAGAATTATGCTCATCTCCTTGCAGTTCACCCTCTCTCAGGGATACAACATGATATCAAGTAATGGAACAGATCGGTTATCCACCTACCATTCCTAGCCAAGGCTCGGAGCATATTCATTGCTCTCCATTATGATTCCAGATCTAATCCTTCCATGGAAAGAGTAACTTGATCATGTGAACCTAGAATTATCTCGGCCCTATTACCAAAAGAAGAATCTAAAGGGGGCAGGTACCCTCGATTTTTGAAGATCTTCAAGCCATATGATATTTCAGATATTTCAAGGAATAAACAAAAGGGTCCAGAAAGACCTCTCATCTTGCCACTCTGCAAAGACTGATTTTGTGACTGACTTTCTGCAAAAGATGAAAACTCTCCCACCCCAGCCTGGAATGGGAAGTGATCATATTCTTACAAGGCCTCAACTTACTCTGATGGGCATCCCATTGTTCAGCAGTCATATTTTATACAGACTCCTATACAGCCCATTCAGTGTTCTCTTAGACAGCAATGGGTACATCCCCAGTGTCACCAATTCACGAGAAACTTATGTGGTACTATGAAATTCCCAATGGGGGCCCCTTTATATTTTGGTATGTCGGGGAATATGGTGGCAAATGCAGTAGAAGTGGTGCACATTTAGCCCACAGCACTGGATCTATCAAGAGATCCTATCATTAATCAAGATGGCCTGTCATATGTGCTGGATCACATCTGATCCAATGGGTCATCTTCATCCCTAAAATGGCAACATACCTGGCCATCTTTTTCCCTGTCTCTATATACAGAACTATCGACATTAGTATTTTCACACGCCTGTGTTGCAGTTCTGAAAGAACCCTAACTTAGTTAATTAGATCCCTAATCTGATTTAGGCATCATACAAGTTCATTTCAGTACTACTGAGAAAATCAGTAGGAGCCATGAGGATGATTCGAACCTGCACACTTGGTACTCCCAAGCACTCGCCCTAAACCACTAAGCCGTGACATGCTACAAAAGCAATGAAACCTGGGATTCATCTGAATCTTCTAGGGTTCCAGAGGCAACTTCTGATACCAAATCAGGGTTTCACACATTACCCGCATACACACTGGCTGTGGTATAGGAGTTCTACCCCACACTTCTCTTCAAATGCACATATGCCTCGGGAACCTTAGAGGATTCAGTCCAATCCCATGTTAAATTACTTTTGTAGCATATCATGGCCTAGTGGTTTAGGGCATATGCTTGGGAGTACCCAGTGTGCAGGTTCGAATCCTCCTCACGGCTCCTACCGATTTTCTCAATACATCATGTTAATGTGATTTCTTTGTGCACCACAGTACTATTGCCAATAATACTTTAGTAATCATCATATTTTCCTACTGTTATGCAGTGGGCAAGAATCAGCCCAATGGGGACTAGGCAGAGATTATGGGGAAAAGATGGTTACACAATCAAAAAATTACATTTTGCATTCACCATGTCTTACATACTTTATTATGTAGTGGTAAAGAACCAGCATCACACACTAGAGTAAAACTTCTACAACAGTGTCTCACTACATCCTAACTTAGTCACATCTTAAGACTTGGTGTACAGTGTTTTCTTCAAAACACTTATTCAGTCAATACAATATTGACATGATTTACTCTCCATTACTGGTATCACCCGATTGATATTTACAGGAAATGGCAACTCTGCCATATCTCTAGTTTACATCAGATACTAAACAATCCCAAGATAAGAAAGATTGTTTTTAAAACATTTCAATTTTTTTCTTGTTATTCTTGCATCAACAAACATTCTATTTCGCCAATCTCTTCCCCCACGTACAAAGTTAGATACCATTGATAGCTTTACTTTTCCAAGAAAATTATCAGATCGCAAATCATACTGCATTTTGCAATTTAACAATATCCACCAGACTTATCTCGCATATTAAGTATGATGAAAATTTGCCGTTATACAGTTCTCCTTGCATTAGAAAATCATACATTTTTATTATTCCTTACTTTATAACAGCAGAAATGGGTTGATGTAACCAAGCATGGTAGGTAAAACCGTGTGGAGGGTTGGTTTAGGGGAGATGCTACCATTGGAAGCTCACCTGCAATTCATTGAAACTTGCATCGACTAGCACACACTAGTCCCTTGTTATAGGATGCAAATTTTCTGATATAGGTCCTGGCATTAGAAAACAGTGCTTTATTTGATCTACTTTATATTTAATAGTGTGGATGGATTATGTGGAGATCTTGAAGGAAGCATGTGTGCTGGGTGACGCTCAATACTGTACTTCATAAGGATACATAGCATAGAGCCTTATGATTCGATATAGCATCCTACATATTATTTATGCATCTTGTGTTAGGCATTTAATCTCTACCATCTTTCATATTATTTAGGATGGCATTTTGCCAATAGACGTTTAAGCTGGTAACAAAGCTAGTGAGGGCCGGAGGATATTAGAGGTGTGTCAATACAAATATTTTGACCAATACTGACACTTCATATGTTTTTTTAGACATCAGAACTTCAGATCTCCTTTTTGTAAACAATGACATTAAGTAAATAACTCAATATTAATCAGCGCACATCTACTACTGCAGATTCATCTAAATGAAACTTAAACAGCCTCTTCAAAACATTTTTGATTAGCAACCAAAAAAAATAAAAAAAAAAATAAAATAAATTGAGGAAAAATTTTAAGCCTGCTAACGAGAGTCAGTCATCTTCTATAAAAAAAAAAAAAGCTAATGTATTGAGGGATCAAATGAAATTTTAGATATGGTTCAGCAAAATTAGTCCAATACATTACCACCGATACTGACACATTAGAACACCTCTAATGCATATTTAAAAATTTGTATAGGCATTATGTAGATTTTCTGATCAATGGAGTGAACCACATTGAAATTATTTCCATCCAGTAAAATGAAATGGAGAACTGGATATTTATATTTTCTGATAACGCAAAATCCAGAAGAATGAGAGGGGGTGAACCAGATAAACAGCATCTAATTTATACACATAAACAGCATCCAATTTATACAAATAAATAGCATCCCATTTATACGTGTGCAAATACAGTATATAATACAAGTGCTTATAATACCATATTTGCATTTTTTTTGCCAAAATAATGACAAACATATGAAGTGGCTTTAAAAATAGAATGCAAATTATGTACAGTATACATAACAATTCCTTGTGAGCACTGCCACCACCACCCATTAGTCACTTCAACCCAAAGGCTCACCATCACCATCACTCCGCACACAAATAAATCAATGTCAAGCAAGATCTCTCTCATTTTGACACAAATACAATATACAGCATATTTATATGTATCCTTATTTGTAATACAACAAAGCCTGGAAAGGTTGTCAAAATATTCACCACTAAAATGAGGCCTTATGTTTCAAGTTCGATGAATAACTGCCTTTGATCGACAGCGAACTATTAATGTCAAAGTATTTGTAGACATTAATGGACTATTGCTTCTACATGCATTTATCTGAATTAATAATAATAATAAATAATAAGAATAATAATTTATAAATTTAAAAAAATATTAGCAAATGATTATTCATTCGAAGAAATGCATTATTCGCCTTGACAAATAGTGTACTGCAGCAGTTAACAGTACTAGCTGTACATATATGTTCACCCAACTGGAAGTGAACCATGTCCACCATGTCCACCGCTCGTTCGTGCGCCACTAACCTGAGATAAGACATTAAATTATTAGCGAAGCCATAATTGCCAAGTCTTATTTTCACTTGTATTCTAAATTAAGGAAATTAATAATTATCAAAAGAAGTTGTTAAGCCTTGAAGAATACTTGGCAAATTGTTACAAAATTAAAACAGTCTTAGTTATTGTTCAGGATGCCAATATGAGGTCAAAGACATGAGATGTGCAAATGTCAAAAGTATCCAATTCGCCAAAGAATTTATCGAGGGATAAATGACTTGGATACTGGGAAAACAAGATTTCCATTCCTGAAAATCAGGACATTCTATGAGGAGCTTGACTCAGGTGGACAATACAGTTCTGACAGTACGGCACAGTCTCTGTTCCATTAAGTGCTCGTGAGTTAATCGTATATGGTCAATACATAACCTAGACAGAACCACTTCCCACCAACTGTTACGATGATAACAGGAAAGCCATAGGAATGTCACATTTAATAGTACACATTATAGTTGATAGGGTATAAATAATTATTAAAAGAAGGCACCAAGCCAGGAAGACTATGTAGCACCATCAGTGTCGCTGGATATTCAAAAGGTGATAAATATCACTTGGGATGCTAATACAAGAACATAAAGACAAAATATGAGCGATATCAAAGTTATCAGATTCACCAAGGATTGTATCAAGGAACTAATAATCTCGAGGGACATTAGGAAATCAAAAGATACAATTGTCCTGAAAATCGGGACATTCTTCAAGCAGTTGTACGACTAATTGGGACAATGCAATCTGAACAATGATAGAGTAGAAATCCTTATAAGGAACCAGTTTTTGGGAGATGAGACAAGCATATATGGCTCTAGAGCAGGAGCATCTATGAAGTCATTAAGACAAACAGATGCCGGATAAAATGGATATTAAAGGCTACACCAATATGTATGAGAGAAAAACAATGCCTAGTATCAGCATCAGTACCACACTAAAGATGAGGAACAGCCAGTGGTGGATTTCTATTACTGAAAGCAGGACAGGCCTCAAGACTTTAGGACCATAAAGACACCAGAAGTCAACCACATTAACAAACTAACACTGGCAAAAGAAAAGTAACTATCTTAGGGCATATAAAATTACAGAAAAATCCACAGTAAAAATGTTAATCTCTGAGGGAAGGTGTCACCATCGTTTGATTAAAAAAATAACAGAAGCTGAGGTAATTAGCAGAGTGACTTATCTTAAACAGAGCAGTAGCATATGAATGGCAGTAAAAATGTGATCAGAAAGGGCATTTTAGGCTTAACCACTGTGATGCGCCGAGTTTATTGTGAAATTCCCCTAGTGTGCATGAAATAACGTGTTCCCAAAAAACTTTTTTTCTTCGTAAAATGATAAATTTCCTTCCCTGAACATGTCTATGTAAAAATAAATACCAAATTCCACTTACTTTAGCTGTGGGGACGTGGACAAGGTTCACTGTGACGTCATCAGGGCTTGGTCGTCCGTGCGTGAATCGCCCAGACACGGTCGCGCGGGCCATTGAAGCACTGGATGTTGCCACAAATATATTTTCAATTATTTGTTTTATGTATTTCCAATGCGGTTTTATTTGATTCTTTTATCGTATACGATGCATATTTGTGTCTTTACAATATGTATACAGTAGAACGCTCATATGTTCCCTGGAACTGTGATACGTGTGTCAGTAATGTGTCCACAATAAATGTTTATTGTTGCAATATTACCTGTTAAAAATTCACTAAAATTACAATATGTACAGTTTCACACACTATTTACACAGTAACACACTGTATTACACACTCGGTACTTTGGAAGTGAGTAATAATCAACGAAATAGCCCATGGTACACAGCGCAACTTCGCTCTCAGTGCACCAGGTACAGATAAATTTTCGCTTCCTGTTTCTTTATTCTGTGTGCTTGCAAATAACGCACTCATGTACACCCTTGGCTTTAGTACTTGTAGGTTGTATGTAGCCAAGCTTGTAAAGCATAAGGTAGTATTGAAAAGATTATAGGAAAAGATCAATTTGTAAGGTAGTCTTGAAAAGATCGCTTTGTATGGTTACACACAGGAAGAGATTCAGGTATTCTTGAAAATATCTATGGAAAACACCACCATGGAAGCCGCTAACACTGTTCGTCTATGCTATTTGTATCAAATGCATCATCACTGAACGCAGAAAACGATTCATCTATGTATCATCTAAATAAATTGTAGGTAGCATAGGATTGCAAGGGTGACGCTCAGAGCTACAACTGGATACGTGCGCCTAGCTTCACCAATATTATGACCCTTATGTTCTTCAAACAATAAGGTTTGAATTTCACCGACAGAGCATTATATTTCAACACCGCATCGGACAGGTGTTTGGGAGCCAGAGGCACGTGCATCTCCCATGGTTGCTCATTCAGTACTAACCCAGCCAGCAGCTCTAGGGCATTCTGGGAATTTTTTCCAAGATGGCTGTAGGAGATGAGTCACAATAACGTGGCTGAAGTATGTTGACCAGACCACACACTAGAAGTTGAAGGGTCTGGTCAACATGGCTGTAGGACCAGGTGCTGGTGATGAATAAAATATATTTTACCTCAAGGCATTATAACATGAAGGGGATTTGCAAACCAAATTTTGCTGAACACTATGTGGATTAGGTCCCAAGATTATCGTTTTTCAGTATTGAAGAGAGACATCTATCGAGAAAGGAAGTGGCTGCAAATTTACAGTGGTTAACGAGACTCAAGAGTACCTCAAACACTGGGTATTACAAGACCACCAAATTTTCTTGGGAAGATTGAATCACCGGAGCTCTTGCTCATTTCATTAATATGCAGATTGCATATCATATCTTGTCTAGATCCTGTTTTGGTTCACCTTTAAGAAGTGTGTCGCTGGAAGACACAATTTCAAGGAAAACTATTTAAAAATCATGCCATTATATTATATAAACTTGGCAGTTAATAGTTCTTTATGGAAAAGTAATTGGTGTGATAATGCATGATGGCAAACTCAAAACCAGTAAACCTGAAACGGGTATGAGGAAATGCAGAGATTTCTCATGTGTAAGTTACACCTTTTCCATTTCCTATAAAACTGTCTCAACTTAAAATTGGACACTGAATAACAAGTGTTGTTCTAGCACCTGCTTTCAGCTGAATACAATTAAACTAACAATGTGAATACAAGTGATAACTAAGCAAATTTGATTCCTTTATAAACAAATTTGTAAACACTGCAAGAGAACCTAATCAAACACGAAATGTTTCATTACACATGACAAAATTACCAAAAGAAAAAATGGATAAGATAACAGCCCTTTTCCAGAATACAGTGAAGTGAAAATGCATTCCAGCTATAAAAGTTTTGCTCCCCATCATTGTGTAAAAGGGCAGTGGTTTTCAGTGGCTGCCAATAACAGGAAAGCAGAGTTTGATAACAATGAGCAGAACTGTATTTCATGTTACCTGTGTTACGAATCCGTTATTCCCAATTGTAAGAATAATGAACGTGTAACTTTTTTTTAGAAGTACAGTACAGTAGAAGTAGAAATTCAGGGGAATAAAGGTGTTAGGCATTGCCTTATTATAGTATCGTTTCTTATTATCTGTGTGTGTAGGAAAGAAGCTAAATGCTTACATATATTAGAGTAGGTGTAGTGTAGTTATTTGTAAAGACACACTGAGAATAGCCACTGGTGTGAGATAGGTTTTAAGTGGCTCAAGTGCCGTGACCTGAGGTAATGATGAGGGTTTTACCAAGTCTAGGAAAATGGGATGGCCTAATCGTAGAAATGTTGAATTGCTGGAACCAGAGAGATGTTACCATTAATCTAGATTCGTTAAATACTTTGATGGCGGATTAAGACCAACCATGTTGAGTTTCCCAGTGTAAGCTGGACTAATGGGATTTCATACAAATAATGTAGGTAGCTTAGCCATCTAACATGGTGGCTGCGGCCATGCTGTTTTACCCCTCAGGTTAATTGTAAAGTTTATGATGTACCTATTAGTTTCGGTAAACAAAACCCTTGCATGTAATTAGAAATTCATTTTGCCAACCATTGTGAGAGTTGGGGTTTGTAGTATTCTATGATAGAGAAATGACTGATGCTTTATCATGCATCTGGCAACCCAGAGTTTGTACCAGGCCACCACTGGTCCTGTGAAATGTTCCTTGTTTCAATAGGCTATTGTTAATAGTATTGTTCCATTTGTGTAAATGATTGTTAACTGAATTTCAAGCTTAGATCTGCTTAACAATTCTAAGCAAATGATTGTTCGAACACGGTCCCATGCCCATATAAGGAAGGAGCACCCATGCGTCGCTCTCATTCATTCTAGGGGCAAGGTCGAGGATGGTAGTCTGATCACAGTGAAGCCATGTGGCTATTAGGCTAAGTGTTATTTGTTAACACAAATATTTGTTAACTTGGGTCCTACTTACTGTTATTTGTTAACACAAATAACAGTAAGTAGGACCCAAGTATTTTAAAACTGTGTGTGTGTTAGTGCGCAGTGCAAGCCTATTTTACTGTCCGTTCCCAGTGCGTGGAACTGGTATATTTAAATTCATATATAATTCTTGACCCGTGTCTGTGTCCTTCAAAGCGAGCCACGTGGTGTAACTAACTTGTATCCGTGTGATTTTATTGTGTGCGCGCATCCCTATAAATATACTGGAGTTAGGCGATCCCATTTTTCATTAACCATCACTATCTAAACCTCCTGCTTGGAGTGGGGAAATTAATGGGATTCTGTGCTATTCTTGAGCATTATTAGATTGGCATGTGATAGTCTGTCATTAACATTTTTAGCTTGCTACAACTATTCTGAGCTTCAGGTTAGCTGGCTAATTACCTAATTAATTATACAAGTTATTAGCTCCAGAGCTGGAGCCCCTAGGGCAGTTTGTTGTTGCCTTCAACCTCGTTCTGACAGTTCCTGCGACGGCACTGGAATCAATTGTATTGGCGTTTGCCTTTCCACTGGAGATTTTCGGCGCCGTGAAGAGGGAGGACCTGCTGCATAGGCAACAGCTTCTCCCCTGTATCAACCTATCTTGGCTTTACACCTTGGAGAGGCCACACCTGAGCGCAACTCCATAGCCTCCCGAGACTGATAGATGCCTACTACTATACAATTAGATGGTAATTCATAATTAATCATATATTACTGTACAAGTTATAAATGAAATGCTCATAGAATATTCTTGGAAAGAAGTATTACAAATACTCAAGAACCCGTTACCTTAAGCAATGCCTTTATTTTCAGCAGCTGCAGCATTGGCCTTGTCCTTAAAGTAGCGAGTTTCCTTGTATAGGAACCATATGTTACTTGCCCACAGGAATACATTAAGGAAGCCAAGAATCTGTCAAATAATATATTTCATATAAACATTTAAACATCGGGAAATCACATAAAATACTGTCAAAATATCTTTAAAAATTATTACATCAATGATCTAAAAATTATTAAAATAAAATATATTTGTAAACAGCCATGCAAGCAAGTAAAATATGGTGGCTCTGTGTGGGTTAGTGATTTATAAATAATTGTTACTGTACTATAACAATGAGGTCATTAACACCAAATACAAGTAAAGTAGTCCAATTTTCTTCAAGATATGCCCGAATGCCCGAAACGCTTTGCGTAATAGTGGCTTTAGGCATTGTATGTACTAGCTCTATCTATAAGTCCACCAATCTTTGTAAAAAAAATTCTTGTATGAATGTACCTTACCTAAATAAACATTTATTTATTTATTTATATGTTTTGATTGTAACACTTTATTATACTAACCTTTGATAATTCTGATTAATACTGAGTAACACTTCCTACTGGTTGCATTTGGTAACACTTTACCGAGGTAAAATCTTGATGATTGAACACTGGTAATTTGTATTTAATGAAATATGAACCGACATGTGATGTACCACTGATGGTTACACCCGGGACCAATGGTACCTTCCCAAGGAAATGCTACAGAGATAAAACTTATTAATTATACGCTGCCGCCATCCTGCCTGGCAGGCAGCTATATCAATCAATGAGGCAAGAAGCATTGCTTGGCTTTGAGAGTTCTCTTCTAGCTGTCATTAATTAAAAATGTCCTAGCTGATTCAGCCTACCCAGTAAAAAGAGTTTTGCACACCTAACCCGTTCGTCAGCATTTCAAGGAGTCAGATACCCATGGTGTGTGCAAAAACACTCAAGATGTACCATTAAGTTTGTTTGCCAAGATTATCAGGATTAATCGAAACATGAATCAAGCTGAGTAGGGTGTAGCCAAGAAATATTTCAAATAACTCCAGATGATCTGTGGTCACTTGACTGACCTTACTATGGAGGTTTCCATGGTGAGTCATGGGTGCACTTTCTCTGGGGGGTTACATGATTCTCAAGATTGATGTCAGAAGTTCTAGTGCCACTTCATTTCTTGGTTTAGTTTTCAGACGTTGCTCTTGAAAATATCCATTCAACTTGGCCTTTCCTGATTTTGGCAAGCTGTATATTTTTCAAGGCAAACTCACAGTTCAATTAACATGGACTCTCCACAGCATTCTTGACAGTTACAACTTTGGTCCAAAATGATAATCCAAATGCTGGAATTTACCCCCATAAATGTTGGTCTAGCTAATGATAAGAGTAGATTTCACTGGCCTTCAATTTCACTAAGGTTTGACTGGTCAGCTAGAACTAATGGAAATTACGAAAATGGTAGCAACGTATGGCTAAGGAGTGTACATGCTAGACGAGTGGTTCTTCACCTTTTTCTAGGTTTCAGCCTTACTAGGACTGTGAGCAAGCTCTTCGCAAGCTCTCACTAAAAATGTTTGGCATCTGTGTTGAACAGTTTAACAGCTTTTCCTGGGTTATAGCATTGCTTTTTTTGTTATTGGCCAGAAGTGTAGAAAATTCATAGCTTAAGTTCACTTTCTTCAGGGGCAGATAAATGGAACTTAAGTCCAAATTAACATGAAGTTTTGTATCATCAGGATGCGGCATTTCAAGAGTGAAATTTCCTAAATCAGTGCAAAAACAACACTGATCTGCTTCATCTATTTGATAGGGAACATTAATCCTTTCAACAGCAGGCCACCGAATCACCTTCTGTGGTTGATTGTTCAATAAACCCTTGAACTATATGTTTAACACATCTCTAACCCTGTCCATGGAGGACAGAAGAAAATGTATATATGCTGGTTAACATTATAAATGTGTGGCCACATTTGTGGTAGAAAATAATAATAATTAAAAAAACCTTTCAATATCATTTAGGATTGGTTTGAGGAATGTAAACTAAAGCTTATTGACAGAATCAGAGTACATTGAAAAATAGTTGCATTGCAACATTTATCACAAGAGGATAAATCTATTTGAAAGGTATGTTGAAGAATCCCACTGATCTAAAAGCCACTTTACATTATTCCTCCTTGCCAGCCATTGTGCTCCTGACAAAGTAACAGATGGATCTATATATAAAAACTTCTAAACTTCTAAAGTTCCGAGCCCCTAATAGTGACAACACAGAGGGAGGCATGCCACAGTCATACCATACCAGTCCAGCACGCGAATCTCAGGGTTGGTAACCTCTCACATTCAGTTCGAACTTAAACATACAATGAGTGAGAAATTTAAACTCGGATTATATGATCAATTAGAAATACCGTAGTTAGATTTATAGTCTTCTTTGTCTTCAAAAGGCAATTATATTACATTATAAATGCATAAATACTGTAATATATAATAAACTTCCTTCTCATTAGTAGCATAAAATAGTCAAGCTTATATTAAAATACCCCAAAAAGTTGCAAGTAGTGAAATTCAAAATTTATTAATGCTGGGCTTTCAAAATTAGCCCATTTCACTATTTGTAGCCCAATCTGTTTGCAAGACCACCTAGAAGGACCACACACTGTAGGACCAGGTGCTGGCAAAAAGGGGTTAAATGTCCCCCCCATAGCACTGTTAAAGGAACAAACAGCAAAAGGGCCTGGCTGAAACCCAAAGCAGAAGCACCCTACCACAATGCCGAGAGCGACGCCGACTAGAAGAGGCAACGACTAGAGGAAGTGCAATGGCCCAAGAATCTAGTTCCAATGGTGGCCTACCCTGACAAGCCACAAGTAAGATCCTACCCTGGAAGAACTGCCTTCAAGCATAAGGGACAGTTGGGTTCATACTTAACTCATAATTGGTAATCCCAGGTTCGAATCCCAGATGAGACACCTCATCTGGGATTGGTTGGGCCCATTTCCTTTCACCTAGTGATTCCATTGGCTTAGCAGTAACTATGTACCCAGGAGTTAGTCAACTGTTGTAGAGATGCATCATGGGAAGGGTCAGTGGTTTGACTTTGGGGGGGATCTCGATACCAGCCTAATACACAGTATATACATACACAGGCTGCCTGTCCTGACAAGAGGAATTATTATTAACTGAACCAAGGGGCTGGAATAAAGAAGCCACAGCCTAAGAGTATAGAAGAGACCGAACCTCATTAAAAAAAGGGAGGGACGAAAAATGTGAGGCAGACAAAATGATAAGGGACCATACCGAATCTGATGCTTGGGCATGCGCAGTATGCAACACATGAGATAAGCCAGGAAAAAGGCTGCCACTGCCTCCCAATTGAGAGGAGTGAAAGCTTCAGCAAAGCTGCCGAAGCCGGGACTGCAGGTAACATGGCAGCAGCAGCAGCAGGCACCAAAGCTAATACATCCAGGATGCATCAGTTGGAAAGCAGCTCAACTACAGCCCAGATGAACAAAACAGCAGCAAAGTGAGCACAGGCCATGTGACTATGTGGTCTGGGCTCCAAAAAGTAAAGACAGCTCCACATATAGCCAACACACACTTACACCCTTGGGTAAAACCTGAGCAAACGGGCAAACCTCCAGCAACGCAAAAGAGGTACTACCCATGAAGACCTGAAAACTACACTGACTTCTCCCAACTCAAGCATTTGTGTATTGCAAAAGCCATGCCAAGCCCCTGAGGAAATCAAAAAGCTGCCACAAGAATTACAGATCTCATACTGCAACTATAAATCAAAAGCTGACCTGAACATAAGCAAAGCTTGGTTCATCAAGGTAGTGAGGTTTTGATCTCACAGGAGTAACCAAAATAAATCTGATTCAGCTGAAGATGGCATGAAGGGGACAATGGAAACCTTTGGAAATGACATCTGAGAACTCTACAGGTACACAGCAGTGAAGGCAGGAGCATTCAGCTCAGCTGAGGATTTCAGCTCAAACATGGGTGAAGTCCTCTGGTCAGACCAAAAAACCTTACAGAGAGGAAATCAAAGACTAAGAAGAGTTGAAGGGCACCCAGGAACCCTTCTCGGGCTCCCTGCAACCCCAAAAGTCATGAAGACTCTGAAGCAGAGCCGCATTTCATGCATGGTGCATGTGAAGCTAACACTAAATTTTTGAATGATACACAAGCAAATGCCCCCCCCCCTACAGGACATAGTCCAAAGAATGGCAAACATTTGTGTAAGAATAGTTGGAACCCAAAAGATTTGCAACCAAAGGAGAGGTCCAAACTGTTGGCATCATGAGAAGGCCTGGGGATTGTTGACAGGGAAAGCTGGCAGCTCCTGGTGGTGCTGCCACCTTGTGGTGGCCAGCTGCAACTAGGGAAGTTTCGCCTAACTTCCGGGTGAATTATTTGCAGAGTCGTTTGCTGCATCATTTCTTTATTTTCTGTGAACCTGGCAGTTGTCTGTTATGCTTTGTTTACTTTCTGGCCATTTCTTTGGTGAGAGAGAGCTTCAGCTTTCTCACTCCCTGTGCCTCTAAGGGGTGCCAGGTTCTGGCTCTGGTCTCCAGTAGGCTACTAAGGATTCCTAGAGTTGATGTGATTAGTGTATGGAGGGAGCTACAGGGAGTATCCAGGGACTGAAATTGTTAAGGCCCTCCAGAAAGAAACACCTTTTCCCCCCACTTAACTGTTAATTCTCGAAAAGTAGATTCATGGGAAACAATAAAAAGTAAGATTACATTTGCAGTGTTTAACACTTACCACTGAAATTACAAGTTTGGAGAATGAAGCTTCCTTTCTAGAAAGGCAACCATAAACTTTGCATATTTCAGGATTTTCATCAAAAATGTTTTCAAGATGTGTAGCATACTTTAGATTAGATAAATTGTTGGCCCAGGCACTACTTGCAGCTAGCCAGAGAATGGCAAAGAGAACATGAGCACCACAGTCCTGAAAGATAAATACTTATCACACATTACATCAATTATTCAATATAACTTTTCACTTTTCAATGAGAAAGTCAAGAAAAGGCTGGTATAACTAAGTAATACAGTACACATCATTACTCCATTATTATTTTCATGGGAAACACATTTAACTGGAATAAGGCCCTTAGTGAATGGTCCAGGACGGACCGAAACGTCGTCGTCCCTTCACCTTCTAGTGTGGTCTGGTCAACATAATTGATAAGGAAGAATTCCCAAGACCTGAATACTTCAAGAACACGAGGTCATAGATTTAAGCTATCTAAACAAAGCTGCCGAAAAAACACAGTACTGTAATGTAGAGTATATGAAAATTCACTATCACAGAGTGGTAGACAGTTTTCATATCAAACAGATAAGTGAATACAGCATTGCCATGTAAGCTCCTGGCTTGTTTTAAGATAATGTGTAAATTAATGAATTATTAAACAGCCAGAAGGGTACATTATATATGAGGTAACTATATAAGATATCAGTGGTGGCTAAATGAGTCAGAGTAGACTAATACTGTATGACCATTTCAACTACTCTGAAACACCATCGGAACACGGAGTCAATTAGTAACTGAACTGAATGGAGAGCGGTTATTGTGTGTTGACTCTTGGGAAATTGCCTCAGATAAGTCCTTATATATTCTATAAGTCTTGGCCACCAATCTACATTAATAACTACAAGTATTATTACTGTGTGCATCTCCAGGCATACTCCCCAGTTAACCCTTAGACTGTGGTTATTGTTTATTGACGATCCCTGTGGTTATCATTAAAACAGGATTTAAACAATTATTGTTTGGGTTTTACATGTATGAAGCAAATATGGATATAATAGCACTGAGGATGTAAATAAAGAAAAACAATTGGTGAAACATCCAAGAATAAAACAGGAGGCGTCAGCAAAGTCAAGCATCAGGCGTTGACAAGTGCCTTGCAGAGCACCTCCACCCAGTGAAACGATAAACATTCACTTATTTTCACGTTTTTCTTACATTTTGCATACAAATTAATAATTCTATAATAAAAAAATAGTGTTTTAGGAATTATTTTTTTGTGCATAGGCCGGTACGACCATTTCTCCATAGCTGCTGTCTAAGCGTTAATGTGTAGTGGGAGTAAGCTCGTTGAATGATGTACTGATGGAATTAAGGGGGCATTCCAGCTGTACCTCCTTCAAGGTTTTTTTGGCCCTGCCTAGTGTTTTCTTTGTAAGCCCCAGGGATCCATGGGCTCCAGGACAGGTTCCTTGTCCCAGGGAGATTCTGAGCATGATACTATAATACATTAAAAATTTTCCCCAACACGTATTGCTACCCCCTCCCCACCTTGTCAAATCTGTATTTGTGTGAAATAATTTGAATCCCTTAATTTTATATTCAGCTAACAGTTCCCTGTTTTCTACATTCCTCCATGTTTTGGCTACTGCAATAGGATCTAGTGATTATCCAGACAAAGAGCATTAAAATCATCTATTGTATTTTGTTTCTCAGACTCCTGCTAGTTGTGCGGTACATTATAGGAGTATTGTTATGTTGAGGCACATCTCTACTTCTGTTCATTTTTCCAAAAATTGCCAACCCATGCTTTTATTGACCCCTTTTCCTAAACCCATTCCCATACCTGTATCATCCCATACCAGTAGGGCTTTAACAGTTTAAAGCCCTACCACAAACGCTTCCAACCAGATTCCAACGAATTGGCAAAGGCAACACAACCCCAGCCCTAAATAAATGAACCCCCATTCCATAGAAATGGTCCCAGTTATCAATGAAGGATATTGCATTTGATCTGCAATATTTGTCTAGTTGGTAATTACTTCAATTGCCCTAGACAGCCATTCATTTCCGACTTCCCTTCTTAGAAGAAGGCCACGCATGATCGGGCTCCTTCCCTCACTCCTTACAAATTTAATGGCCGTTTTAAACTTCTGTATTAGTCAATTATTCTTTTTCTGTAATCTTTTTTTTCTATGCCACAGCCTTTTTGTGGAATGGACTTCACCCTATTTTATCCTGACACCTTTGATAATGTTTCAATGAAACATCTGTGGAACATTTTCTTAACCTTTGTCCAATTTATTTTCCATTCCTAAGATAATGAACTCTGAAAAGCCAATGTTTGCCTTTACATAAACATATTAAAAAAAAAAAAAAAAAAAAAAAATACAACAGACCCATCACCCACATCAAGACAAAACAGGTTTTTATGGTCCTGTACTTTCACAACCACCAACATAAACAGCAGCAATGTTAAATAATCTTACCGCAACAGGAACAAACTCATTGTTCTCATATATACTGGTAAATGCACAGTACAGGGCCAGTGCACCAATAGTATACAGGAAAGCCAGCACTCCAACAGCTACAAAAAACTGTGCATCAGAAGAAAAGTCTCCACTTATCTGAAGCTGTTCTTCGTTTCCTTCACAAATCTTCACAAGTGGCTTCACTGAGTCAAGCCTAATAATAAAAAACATTCATTAATAACTTTTAGAATATCTAAAATGCAGCTATAAATCATTATCCATTATCCAGGAAATCTTAACGACACACAAATCCTGATAATCCTGATAATGTATTAAGTACAGTACTGTGTAGCCGACTTACTTTACATGTATTCTTTATCTGAAGAGCTTCATTTTTAAAAAGGTGGTGCTGTACTGTACACTATATATAATTGCTTTTTAGAAGTTCAGCTGTACTATACTGCACGTAGGACCTAGTTACATTTACACATGCCAATCAGTGGCACAAAATATGATTTCATGGATAAAAAGTAAACAATACTGTAACGAAGGACAAATAAATGGTACAGTATTCAAAAAAGATTAGTTAAGCAGAAAACAAAAATCTAAATGAGGAGATAGGGCAAAAGATAAGAGGAAATTAATTAGAAAACAGGAAGCTTATTTGAAAAGAAGAATGCAGCAGGGAGATTGATGAACAGATACATAGAAATGTTAAAATATTGTCATCGGAGACTTATAAAACCAGCATTGTATGTAATAAAACGCCATTTTCTGGGCGAGCCCCGGATGCTCCCTGGAGCTATCGGACTGATATACGCTATATTAGTCTGGGGCATCAATCAATGAAGTTCAGTTTACCAGGGACCACCATTGGCAGAGGCCAATGCCAACAGAAACAGAGCCTTGGAAAATAATCTGGAACCGATGTGGCATCCACAAACCGAGGAGAAAAGAAAAAGAGCATGCGGTCCAAGGACCAGGACAGCTCAGGCGACGAATGAGCAGGCCGGAGGTGAAACAAAGCATGAGAAAGCTTGCTAAATGGATCCGAAGTGACATCCACCCGAAATACAAGCTGGAGCAGTTCCGCCAATGCTGCATGACAAGAGGCGACAGTATTGGGCATCAAATGACAGTCCTGAAAAAGCCAAGAAAGAAAGGACAAATCAAACTGATCGCAAATAGAGGACAATGCCAGGAAACTTCATACTGTCAACGAGACGAAGCTCACAGTTGGGACACCATCAACGAAGCCATCTGATCACCATACAAATGGAGATACACCCATGTCAAAAAGACCAGATGCAAAGGTGGAGGAGTGGACCGAACCAACCATGTACCAGACCAGTCTGATCTGCTGAAAAAGGCAGAGCCACGGAAAACGACTCGGGTTCAGACACCGAGCAAGTAGCGCCTGAAACCAAGGAGCCACCAGGACAACGCTTCCGTGATAAGACTCCAAAAGAACCAAAACCCGAAACAACCCCTGGAACGGAGGAGGGGGGAGGGGAGAGGTACAGGTAACCCCACCTCGACCAGTCCTGCCGAAAGGCATCCACCGCAACGGCGCCACAGTCGGGTAAGGGTGCCACATATTTTGGGAGATGACGTGAAGAAGTCACCATGACGTCACCATGCTGACGTGAAGAAGTCCACCTCAGTAGACCATACATCCGGCAGAGCCAACTGAAGGAGTCTGCATCGACCGTCCATTCCGTGGACAGGAGAATGAGCCGAGACAGGCTGTCTGCCAGGACATTAGTCACTCCCCAGATATGAACCCCACAGAGAGCCAAACCCTGAGAATCCAGCAGACGAGTCACTCGAAGAGACCAGCCCCAATGAGCCAAGGAAAGTCCGAATGGAGCCGGATCATAGAACAATGAGCAACCCAAACCCTCCGAAGCAATAGCCAAACTGCAGCGAACTCCCGCACTGTGCTGTGAGCCCGATGTAAGGATGGAGCCCATCGCCCCTGGCCAGTCTGGTGAGCACTGGTCGCAAAATCCCAGCCGACCAGCCGAGAGACGTGGCATACATGAACTCATTAAGTGATGGCTCGGGCAGGCACCAAGGCACTGAACCCTGAAAAACCCGAAGAGGAAGCTGGCGACGCAGCAACCGATGCAAGGCCCCTGGAGGCCGAACCCAGCGATAGTAAGAAAGGCAAAAGGGACATCCTCGAAGGAACCTGAATAGACTCTGAAGCCAGACCCGACTTGGCAGGTAAACCCGCACAGCTGCTCAAGCAACTGGCAAGTGACCCAGAAACCCCCAGAAACAGGGGGATTTCCTCTGGCTGCAGCAATGCCGCCAGAAGAAGAGACATAGAAGCGGTCCGAGAATCCCACACGAGGCTAAGCCCGGTCCGAATCTGGGACGGAACCAGATGGGACTTCCTCCAGTTAACCAGGAATCTGAACCCACCGAGCTGGGAAAGAACCACACCCTGGCGAGGAAACAAGCAGACCGGCTGGGAGCCAACACCATCCAGTCGTCGAAGTAGGCCAACACGAGAACACATCTCGCAAGACTCCAGGTCAAAGGTACTGTAGTTACTACTGACCACTGCACCACAAGGAGCAGGAAACACCACAAAGGCACAAAATCTACCAAGAAATCGTGGCCAGAGTTGACGACCGCCCCAGAGCACATCAGCCTACAAACTGAAGGTGTGAGTAGCCAGTACAGGGGATCTGGGGCTCCCCCCTCTCCCTCCTGGGGAGGGGAGGGCTGCGTGGACAAGCGGCGCAGCAGCAGTGTAAGACGTTTGGTTGTTTACTTGTTTCTTTAAAGTTTTGGGGAGGTCTGCCTCTCTGTTCGGTCTTGGCTTACTATTTCTTACCAAGTGGGGTCTGTTTTGTTATGCCTACCTTTCTGGGTGCCTAATCCCGGTCAATGGCAGACATGAAATGCTCCCAAACACATGGGGGTTTCCATAGGCCATTGCTCCCTATGCCTCTCTGAGAGGGGCCAGGTTCTGGTTCGTGATTCCTGATAGGCTGAACTCCATTGATTGATGCTCCAGATAAATATAGCATACATCAATCCGATAGCTCCAGGAAGCTGGAGGGGCTCCCCACAGAAAATGGCAAAGATATCAGAAGTACTGTAGGTGGAGAGAATACATTTAAAAATCTTAATATATAAAGTGATGAAAAATGAGGTAATGTGAACATAATTGGATTTGATGGCAAGAAGAGTTTAAATCATATGCCAGTTGATGTAAAGCGAGTACAGTATATCTGAAGCTGAAATGTTGGGGAAGAGAACTTATACCCAACAAGAGGCTTTGCTTCCAGTGCTCACTAATACAGCCAGGAGTGCTGGTCTCTATCAATGTAAGTGACAATATTTGGGGTGATGGGGGTAGCATGGAAAGCAGTGAAATACATAAATACAAATCCTCACAAAGCAAGTACAGTATTGAATTTGCTTTAAACAACACACTTACTGGAAAGGATAAGCAATATTTTCCGTAATATTGTAGATCTCTCCAGGACATTTCACACCAAAGGAAAATGAGGTGCTGAAACTTGTGGTGGTTGCAAATGCACAAATACCAAATATCTGAAAATAAAAATCTCTTAGAAACAAAAACAAATAAAGCAAATATACTTGACAACCTATCATTTTTATTTATCACCACAAAATGTTGCACTCTTTCATAACATTATTCTGATAAAATGATTCTGCCTGAATAATTATTATCCCCCCCCCACACTATCAGGGACAAGAAGCCTATATTTAGGACAAGTATTTACCTTCCCCAGGATGCAACCCCACAACAGTTCCATAACTTCTGGGTACCTATTTACTGCTAGATGAACAGAGGCATCAAGGTAAAGTAAGTGTGCCCTACCATCTCTATCCTGCCCAGGGGCTGACCCCGGATCCATCAATTAGGCAACCATTGTGGGTTGCATCCTGAGTAAAGGCCAGTTTCTGGCCTAGATAAGACTTTAATCAACTTAACAAGCTTCCTGTCCATAACAAGAAACAGCGAACTACATAATGTTATACTAATACCGTATATGGATATCAGAGACGACTACAACTTATCTCCAGTACTTACGAACTGCAAAACCTTCATGAAACCTCGTGGCTCTTTCAGTATTCTAGTGTTAATGGTTGTCAATATTCCCTGCAAACAAAAAGGTTAATTTACTATCAAATACTATGTATGAAGTTTTATTCAAAAATAGTCACGACATCCAAAATTTGTTGTATTATTCTTATACTCTAATCTTTGTTATTGACATGTATAATTATACTGCACAGTAAAGCCCAATTATAGTCTCATAATATAAAAACCATTTTATAAATATGTTTAGGCATTTTTTATTTATTTATAATTATGGGTAATGCACTATGCTCAGTGTGTCTCATCTTCCTTGTGTATTATGAAAAAAAAAAAGCAATGAATGTACAGTAATATGCTAAATTTAGTATTGGCCATTTTCATTTATCAAATTAGATAAAAATTATAAAAATATCCATTAGTAACATAGATAGCTATTAACAGTATTTACTGTGCATTTAAGGAAGAGAAATAAATTTCTGGCAACCCTTTTGAGGGGATACAGATGCAGGGAGATACACTTGTTTCCTCCTGACACCCATGTCAACAGTACCGAGAGGGTTTTTTTCAACCACAGACGTGGCCATATACAGTGCAGTATTTACAACAATAAATACAGTATCAATGCTAACCAGCATATACACATTTTCGGTTAAAAAATATATACTTGTACCTGTATGGTTAGAGATATGTTAAACATATAGTTCCGTGATTTATTGAAGAATCACAGACAGTGATTGTAGTGCATTTATAATGCTAATCTAACCTACATATATAAATATAGATTTATGTCTGTCCTACATGTCACGGCCTGTCCTACTGTGAGGGTGGCATGGCTTCTTAACACAAACTAATATCGTTAATAGCCACATAGCTTCAAAACCAATCCTAGGTATCCCCCCCTCACATCCTTGTAATTCTACCCGAGTAGAAAGGGAAGGGGTTGATTAACCAGAGGTGAATATTCAGCCCAAGATGCCATTGTGCGGGTGCCAAATCCTTCAAAAACATATTAACCAGCAAAAATACTATTGGTACTTTGGATTATCACCATTACTCAGCTGGCTAATATTTTTTGAAGGCATCAGAACCTGGCTGACATCTTGGGTTGCATATCCACCTCTGCTTAATGCATTTGGAGTGAGTGAGGCAGGAAAGGCAAGGAGTGAGTGAGGCAGGAAAGGCAAGGAGTGAGCGAGGCAGGAAAGGCAAGGAGTGAGCGAGGCAGGAATGGCAAGGAGTGAGCGAGGCAGGAAAGGCAAGGAGTGAGCGAGGCAGGAAAGGCGAGGAGTAGGGGTGAAGAATGAGGGAAAAAAGGAGTGCAGAAAGAATTAGACAATCATGTTTTCTAGATTCTGAAAATATTACAATACCTGAAGAGGAGTTTTAGGTTGCTCCATATAAACTGGTGGTGGCTGCTTGTAAAAAAAAGTTTATGGCTTAAAAACTTTTAACAGGATATTTCCATTCCAAAAATGTCAATACAGTGTACCTGTATTTCTTAAGTTTCAATGTGTAATTCCGTTCATAAAATAAATTTATAGCTATTCAAAAGATTGCATTAAGATAAATATTTCAAATATTCCTTAATATTTTATATGCAATCATACCTGCTGATCATACTGCATAGGCATAGGCTGCATGTGGAAAATATCACATTAATATATAATCACTAAACAAACACAATTGCTTATAAAAAAAAATTTATTCTCAGCAATTACACACGGTCTTTTTTTAAGTTCCAATGTTAACAATGAATTTACTGCACAGTTAAATGTACATTTTAGTGCTTACAACTGGATCCCATATTTATCAAACTTTGAAGGCAATACAGTACTGTACTTGAATATTAATGTAAAATTAATTCATTTCTGTAATTTATAATTTTAGTAATCTTGAGCATAGAACACCAGACCATATATTTTCATCCAAAAGTTAACTGAACAACGGACTTCAATCAGTTAACAGTCAACTGCATTTCTTGAATTAAATATTTAAAAATTTCCCCTACAAGTTTATACACTGACTGCAAGACATGAAACTTAGGTTTTCCTTAGTCTCCACTTAGAGAAAACTGTCTACATAGGTACGGCAAACATAACTATGATCTTGGATAAACATATTTATGTAACACAAAGAGCAATATAGTAACTTTGATGATTGTCATACCCTTCAAGAAGACCTGGACAGAACAAGTGCAGTGGAACCTCGATTAACTAATTTAATCCGTCCCGGCAATGTGCTCGTCATGTGAAACGCTCGTCTTTCTAAACAAATTTCCCCATTTAAAATAATGGAAATAAAATTAATCAGTTCTACCAACGAAAAATATCAATATGATATTCTATTATTTAAATAATGGAGCAGCCTACCTGACATACACTGAACAAACCTTTATGACATTTTTTCTTTTTCCAAATTAGTTTAATTTTTTAGTTTTTAATTTTTTTTTATAGAAAAAGATTCGTTCAGTGTATGTCAGGTAGGCTGCTCTATTTTGTATAAAAAAAAATAAAACAAAAACAAAACAAAAAAAAATTGAAAGAACTTGAAAAAAAAATGTCATAAGGGTTCGTTCAGTGATTATCAGGTAGGCAGCTCTAGTTTGCATAAAAAAAAATTAACAAAATTGAACAAAATTGAAAAAGGAAAAATGTCAAAGGTTCGTTCAGAGTTTGTCAGGTAGGATGTTCCATTTGACTTTTTTCTATTTTTCATATTTGTTCAATATGGTATGTATTTTTAATTTTTTTATTAATAATGGAGCTGCCTACCTGACAATCACTGAACGAACCTTTATGACATTTTTCTTTGTTTTTTCAAACTCTTACTATTTTTTCTGTTTTTTTTTTTTAGTGTAGCAGCCTACCTGACATTCACTGAACGAACCTTTTTGACATTCTTTTTTCAAATTTTCAATTTTTTTTTCTAATTTTGTCTAATAAACAAAAATCAATGCTTTCCAACATTACAGCAGTCACCCCTTTACATCCCAGCATCATTAGCATCTTTAAAAAAAAAAAAAAAGTTATTTGCATCGTTGGAGGTGTCTGAGAATTTGCAAGAACCAGCGGGAACGCTTGGAAGCACCATGTGCTTTTCTCATTAATCAGGTGAAAGCTTGTGAATCGAGACAAATTTTCTCCGAGTGATGCACTCGTTATTCGAAATGCGCGTATATTAAGGCATTCGTTACTAGAGGTTCCACTGTATATGGAGCACCACTTGGCAAATGAAATTTAATGTAAATAAATGCCATGTTATGGCAAGTGGAATAAGAGAACATAGACCCCACACAACCTATAAATTATGTGAGAAATCTTTAAAGAAGTCTGATAAAGAAAGAGATCTAGGGGTTATCTTGAGGTTATCTTGAGATGATTTCGGGGCTTTTTAGTGTCCCCGCGGCCCGGTCCTCGACCAGGCCTCCACCCCCAGGAAGCAGCCCGTGACAGCTGACTAACACCCAGGTACCTATTTTACTGCTAGGTAACAGGTTCTAGTGGTTCTAGATAGAAAACTATCACCAGAGGATCACATTAATGTACATTATGCTACACTTTCTAACTTCAGAATTGCTTTTAAATACATGGATGGCAAAATACTAAAGAAATTGTTCACGACTTTTGTTAGATCAAAGCTGGAATATGCAGTGATTGTATGGTGCCCATATCTAAAGCAGCACATCAACAAACTGGAAAAGGTGCAAAGACATGCCACTAAGTGGCTCCCAGAACTGAAGGACAAGAGTTACGAACAGAGGTTAGATGCATTAAATATGCTAAAACTAGGAGATAGAAGAAAGAGGCGATATGATCACTACATACAAAATAGTAACAGGAATTGATAAAATTGATAGGGAAGATTTCCCAAGACCCGGAATTTCAAGAACAAGATGTCACAGATTAAACTAACACAGATGACAAAGAAATAAGAAAATTCACTTTTGCAAACAGAATGGTAGATGGTTGGAATAAATTAGGTGAGAAGATGGTGGAAGCCAAGACTGTCAGTACTGTTGTTTCAAACCGTTATATGACAAAGAGTGCCGGGAAGACGGGACACCACGAGCGTAGCTCTCATCCTGTAACTACACTTGGGTAATTACCTGTCGACTGACGGTTGAGAGGCAGGACCAAAGAGCCGAAGCTCAACCCCCACATGTACAACTAGGTGAGTACACACACCTCTCACTACCAAAACAAAAAACTTATAAAATTACAAAATGCTTTTCCCTAATGTTGATACAATAGAAAGAAAAAGTTAATCAAAATGAACATGCTTCTGTGTACCTGTGCTTCCTCCTGTGGTTGTGCCTGGAAAGATAGAATGTTTAGTACCTTAGTGGCAATAATAATTCATGCTTGCCATTAAGAAATACCAGTATTGAACTTGTACAAAACCTCAAACTATTAGGTATAGTATTCAGTACTGCAAAAAATGCATGCCATATATACAGTATTCCTCATTATATACTGTACAACTTCATACTTTATATTTCTCAGTAGGTTGTCTCCAACTAATAACCCGAAATCTATTAATACAAAACAAAAGTTTATCAAAATTACTAAACTTGAAAGTACTTTATTTATCTACGCACTTTACAGCTTCAGATCCCTAGAATGTACAGTTGTTCTATTCTTGTTCATCAAGAGCAGATCAGTCTTTATAAAACTCGATACAAACTAGACACAGTTTAATTGCACACGTGTTCAATAAACATATTCCCGGATAGCATATCACATGGTACAGACTAGTGTGACTAATACACGCTGCTGTAATTATGATTGGCCGGCTGTCTGGCCATACTAACGGAAGAGGAATGAGGGAAAGTGCATATCAATCAAGTTGAGCAATAATCAATTGAAATAGATGTGATTGCTAGGAATTTGGTTACCAATACCAATGTCAAGAGGTTTTGACATACAGATATTATACTGCATTACAGTACAGTATTATCCAATTCCAATACAGTATTACAAAAAAGATACAGTATTCAGATATTGATATTTACTTTTAAGTTAGATTCTCATGATTGCAACTTTGTAGATTATAACAGGTTAGTAAATTAATAACTATTATAAATTATATAATTTATAATTAAATTAATTATACTGTATTATATTAATAATTAATATTAATAATAAATTTATAGGATCTTTGTAGTATAGTCGGGTTCATTCTCGATGCACGATTGAGAATTCCGGGTTCGAATCCCGAGTGGGACAGAAATGGTTGGGCACATTTCTTTTCACCTAATGCACCTGTTCACCTAGCAGTAAGTAGATACTCGGGAGTTAGTCAACTTCTTGTGGGGTTGCATCCTGGGTGGGGTCAGTAATATGACCTTGGGGTGGGGACCTCGATATAAGCCTAACGTGTATGAATACACCCTGGCTTCCTGTCCCCCGACAATGAATTATAACACATTAATTATAATAATCATAACTATTCTTGCAAAGTCCCATAAATTAAACTGTTTAATGGAGTACCATCGGTGAATAGTAACAAATAGCAAATCTAAAGATATATTTTTTGCATAGCTACTCTGCCTTGGAGTGTTCAGGTCAAGATGATGGTACTGCAATTGTATTACAAATCATACTTACTATGGGTCATTTTTCTCTCCCAAAACAAAATAAAAACAAAAAATTAATTTTCTGTATCTGAACACACTGTTGACGAAACCCCTTGCACTGTTCTTGTCGTCATATTAACACGTGTGCTGGAGCACCAGCCAACATGTGATTTTGTTAGTACAGTACCTGTATATCATAAGATTCCAAACTCCCATGCATGCAATGGGGTACGCAATTGCTTCCTCAGGCATCCAGTAACCATCCCTCATCTTTAAAAAACATCCTTAGTCCCTCGTTTTCCTTCCATGGGCTTAGTAATGTGGTTTAGGTTATTAGGGCCTACAAAATGTTCCTAAGGCCATGGCTTTAGGAACGTTCAGGGCAGCCATACTATCTTGAGGTTATCTTGAGATGATTTCGGGGCTTTTTAGTGTCCCCGCGGCCCGGTCCTCGACCAGGCCTCCACCCCCAAGAAGCAGCCCGTGACAGCTGACTAACACCCAGGTACCTATTTACTGCTAGGTAACAGGGACATAGAGTGAAAGAAACTCTGCCCATTGTTTCTCGCCGGCGCCCGGGATCGAACCCGGGACCACAGGATCACAAGTCCAGCGTGCTGTCCGCTCAGCCGACCGGCTACTATGAGTCACAAAATTTTTTAGCAGCAAATGAGTGATTACCATTATGTATTTCAGGCATTGTATAACCACGAAGGAAAATTAAAACATGAAATTACTACTTAAGCACTTCTGTGTTAATCAACACATCAACCAAAGTATATTATGACATGTTGATTATCACAAAAGTGCTCAAGTAATTTCCCGTTTGATTTTTCCTTTGTGGTTAAACATTGTTATATGTACTGTATATATTTTCAGATTATAATTCGTACCATGTAAATATCTCCGAGTGAAATAGTGTACATTCGTATTTTTTATTTTTAATACAACAAATATAAAAAAAAAAATATTTATTTATAATAACATTTATTTATGAGTATTTATAATTTTAGTGTTTATGATATGCACCTTCACCCGAAACACTATGCGTGTTAGTGACTTTTGCAAAAATGTACTAATATACAAATACCAATATTATGTAATCTCACAAACCCATTGTACCATCTTGTAAATAAATAACTACTGTATTAATATTATTATTGGTAAATGGTAAAGATAAATGGGCAGGTTTTGGGCAGATCTAGAAATGCCCAAAAGCCTTTGCGAGTTAGTGACTTAAAAAGAAATGTAAGAACACAAATGTTATGTACTCTCTCAAAAAAATGTATCTTCTTGTATATAAATGAATAAATAAATTCATTTGTTTAATTCTAATACTTGTAGGCGAGAAAAGTTGTGAACACCAGCTAGCGCAGAAGTACAAGAGCGCCCAAAATACTTTTACACAAAAGACATGTACAGACAGGCTTCCGACTTCGTTTTTAACGATTAATATTACACATTAGGTGCTTGCCTATAATAGTTATTATATACAAGTATAACTATTACATAATAAATGTAAAAGGAGTTTATCCAAAAACTGACAAAAGTGTTGTGTTTTGTGCGTTGTATCGTGTTTATGGGCATTCGGGTGTGTTGTGTTTACGCTGGCCGGCGGCGTCCTTACCAAGCCCGGATTATACCCATCACATCACTAAGCTTCCTTTAATAATTATATGGCTGCTAAGTAGAAGATTTTAATTGTTAGTAACATTATATTGTCGTTTTAATATTGATCACGTACACATATGCGAAACGTCCAAAGCTGGTGTCCGAAATGGTAAAAATATTAGTGTGCAATGGTGTCAATGTACAGTGTCAATGTACAGTGTCTGATCACTTTTGTGATCACCAGGCAAAACTCTTGGGTATAAAAAAAAAACTCATTTGCATATACAGTACCTAGTTCCTAAAGCCAATTTTTCATCACTGATGATATGGTAGGTTTATATTTAATAAAGCTACAATTTAAGATTCATTTCAATAAGATTATCAGGACAAATGTGGGACCTTTGACAAGCCACCGGCTTCCTAATCTCATCAAAGCAACTAGATATATATAGTGTCTCTCAGGTACATTCAAGCAAAAAGATTCTCCCAATTTGCACCAGCATGATAAAGTGTCTTGGAGTTGATAAATACATTTTTGTTTAAAAACCTGTTCACATCTTAGCAAGTCTCAGCTACGTCAGGATAAAAAGGTAACATGATGAACAACCCAGAGAGGTGTTCATCCTATTGAACATGCTGCTATAGCGGTGTGTTCACTCAGGATGAGTGACGCCGGCACTCTCAACTAAAAAAAAAAAATTATAACTCGTCAGTGACAAACACTCCCTTTAAACATTGATATACGTTGGCAAGAGTCCACTATGAGTAGGGTGTGTTGTAATACACTCCCACACGGTCATTACCTTGCAACCTTTTACCGTAATACTAGCTCAATTATCGCCACCATGTCGCTACAAATGGGTGGTGCCATAACACGTACGAAGTGGCCTTACCTCCATGTTGTACAAAAGTTGTGTTAGAGCAGTGGTGAAGGTTGTGGGTAGTGTGTACACTTGCGCCAGGCCAGGATCGAGCCTCGTCAGGAAAGCAGTGGGCGTTGCGCAGGCCACAGGCGCCACACACACTCCAAATTCTTGCCTTCTATACACTCCTATTTACAGCACTCTACGCCCAACCCTTCATCTATATATATTCCTTTCCAAGAATTACCAAGTTTATTCTTCTTTTTTCCCCGATTTACAAACAAATTTCCACACTTTAGACTGCATGTAGCAAGCATCCACGCAGTTCGTGATGTCGCATTACTTTTAACTTATTATTATCAGCAAGTTTCTAGTAAGGTAGTTCTGTGTATATAACACTTAGGACGGTAGAGTATGCATCAACATCTACTTATAAACAAATACTGTACCAAATAAGTATATATGTAAATTCAAATAAGTAAATAAGGAAATTCTGGTAAATTCAAGTACAGTAAATATGTAATCTAATCCTCTATATTTTTATACATCAATTATTATTATTATTATCTCACCGATGTATTTTTTTTTTTTTTTTTTTTTTGAGATATATACAAGAGTTGTTACATTCTTGTACAGCCACTAGTACGCGTAGCGTTTCGGGCAGGTCCCTGGAATACGATCCCCTGCCGCGAAGAATCGTTGTTACAACCAAGTACTGTACACATTTTACTGTTGCGTTAAACAGAGGCTACAGTTAAGGATTTGCGCCCAGTAAATCCTCCCCGGCCAGGATACGAACCCATGACATAGCGCTCGCGCATCGCCAGGCGAGTGTCTTACCACTACACCACGGAGACAACTATTAACAAGGTTAAGTACACACGCCAGGTGGGGGGCCAGTGGCTAAGTGGACAGCGCTCGGAGCTCGTAATACTATGGCCTGGGTATCGATCCCCGGCAATGGCGGAAACATATGGGCAGAGTTTCTTTCATTCTAATGCCCCTGTTACCTAGCAGTAAAAATAGGTAGGAGCTGTTACAGGTTGCTTCTTAAGTGTGTATGTGTGTGTGGAAAAATAAAAAAGGTTGATTGATTGACAGTTGAGAAGCGGGCCGAAAGAGCTCAGCCCCCGCAAGCACAACTAGGTGAATACATCAATGTGCTGCTACACAATTCTATATGAAAGATTACAGAATAGAGGTCAAGATCGAGCTATACATATGAGTTGCATTGTAATTGCCAGAATTAGGCTGGGATGCCGATATCTTATGGTAGGTGACGGCAAGTAATGAATCCCCCAATGGTGTACATTCCAAATGTAAACTATGTGAACAAGAGCTAGGACATACTCTCCAACACTATATCTGTGGTTGCCCTGTTATCAGTGATTTCAAATAGATCAGCCTTACATTTCGTGTTCTCTCCTGATTCCATGTATGAGTAACCATCCTGTGAGATAGGGATATTAGGTGAACTTATAGCTAGTTTTTGATCTGCACTGTGTAATCTTTCATACAGAATAGGGTAGCAGCACATTACTGTGAATACCTAAGTTTGATAATAATAAAAAAGGTCAGGGCTAATCTCGTTGAAATTTAAAAAATACTGAACAATTTGTAGGATATTGATTCAGGCCACTTCTTCAAAAGGTCAGATATAACACGAATAAGCCTATCATTCACTGTATGTATAACCTAGTAGCTTCCTGTACCCCGAAAATGAATTATTAATTACAATATTATTATTTAGAATTTGCAGTGATGTTCCCCCCCCCCCTCCCCCCGAAGGCCGAACTACTTACTGGCCTTCCCCAAGATGCAGTCCCACAATAACTGCCTAATTCCCGAGTACCTATTTACTGCTAGGTAACAAAAGCATTAGTTGAAAGGAAATGTGTCCAACCACTTGCATTCCGCCCGGGAATCGAATCTGGGACCCCTATTTGTAGGTCGAAAACGAAGTTACTGTACTACAAGACCCCAACCAATATCGTTAACTTTATGCTAAGAACCTTAATTGCATTTGTATTCAACTACTTATACAATTTGAATTTACCTATCATACATATACAGTAGTTAATTGTTTCTGCTAGCGACGCCTATAGTTTATTGTGCACCCCATACTCATACTCATCCTCTGAACGATAATTTATTGTGCACCCTATACTCATCCTGTGAGCTGTAATTTATTGTGCATCCTATACTCATCCTGTGAGCTTTAATTTATTGTGCACCCAGTACTCATCCTGAGAGCGGCAATTTATTGTGCACCCTATACTATTCCTGTGAGCGGTTGTTTATTGTGAACCCCATACTCATCCTGTGAGCTGTAATTTATTGTGCACCCCATACTCATCATGTTAACGGTAGTATATTGTGCACCCCATAGTCATCCTGTTAATGGTAGTATATTGTGCACCAGGTGGCACTTTTGTGTAATGAGTGCTCATACACCTGCTAGACCGCGTGATAATAAGGCAGTAGAAAGCCTAGTTACCTGTCAGCCCCTTGGCTATATTAGTTCCTGGGAACATCAACATGGCCACTGCCCCCAGACTGGACAGTATCACACACTACCTGGCTCCGGGACCAGAGAAATTGCCAGGGATCCTGCAATTATTCACAATGAGCATTTGGATGCTCATTGAAGACGAGATTATTCAATTCCAATTCTGGAAGACGAGATTAATTCTCGGGCTGAAATCTTTACTTCCCTAACAATAATATACCAGCTTGCACAAGACCCCCCAAAAAGTCTACTAAAGGTGACCAATTCTTTTAAGGTATCAGAATAGAATTGAAGATAACTGGACTGTTGCCACTAGTGCTGTACTGATGGCTGAATATCTTGTTTATCTCTCTTCTAGCCTCATACGCCAAATGTACAAATTCCCTGACGACATAAATGTTAGCAAGACCATAGACCAGACTTAGCCTTTACATCATATGTGCGGCCTTCTTAAATAAAACTTGTATTGATCACCAAACTTGAAATATTCTAAAGATCACACAAGGCGTATTAGGTTCTCTACAACTCCCTCCCTCACATATATCACAGGTATTTACAGGACGCGCCACACGTAACCGCAAGATAAGTGCTTCCTGTGCACCAAGATAGCAATTTCGTCGCTCGTCAGCATTCGAAATATATGCAACATAATGCATCTTAAACAAAAATAGTCACTACAGCTTATATATATATATATATATATATATATATATATATATATATATATATATATATATATATATATATATATATATATATAAAATGTCTCATCATTGAATATGACAGCATATTCTGTATTAACTATTTTCTGGGTTTAGGGCTTCTATCCCTCTAACTAGTGTTCTTGCATCAGGGTTTAGTTAGAAGAGGAGTTCTCCAAAAGTCATGTCCGTTTTCAAGGTGAAGAAAAAGTAAATAACTATAGAATGTATAACACTTATTATATAATTCCACAACGTTTCGAACCTACATGATTCATTCTCAAGGTTGTTGTTGATTTAGATTCAGCTGCTCGAAACGTAAGTTCCGAGTAGCACGGGCTATGGTGAGCCCGTAGTGGACTTACCTGGCACAGAAGCGGGACTGTAACTGGAAAAAAGAAAATACGTTGTTGTTGTTTTAGATTTAGCTACTCAGAACGAAATGTCCATGTAGCACGGGGTATGGTGAACCCGTAATTGAGTTCGGTTATTCGCGATAACCTTGTTACTCTGGTATTTGGGTCAAAGATTAATTGGAGGTGGGGTTTTCTCCTTTTTTCCCTGTTTCTATTTCGCTTCTGTTTTAGTCTTGTTTTAATAACATTATCTTGGTGGCGGATGTAGGTGCAGAATGTTCACTAGTGAGTCCCATTCTTTAATGGCTTTTCTCATCATTGTAGTGGCTGTGGAATGTGCATCTAATGCAGCTGCTGTCGTTGGATTAATGTTGAGTTTGATGCGCAGGGCTTCAGTTGCTTCACATTCCAGTAAGTAGTGCAATAGTGGCGCCTCTGCTTCTGTTCCACAGATATGACACTCTTTAACTATTGGGTTTATTACCTCCCAGCAGCACTTGTAACCAAGTCTGAGTCTGTGTATGGCTACTGCAATGTCTCTGGATATCTTTTTGTCAGGTTTGAAAGAGTAGTATCCAGTGGCTTGTTCGTACCATATCGCAGTGGATCTGCCTTCCGCTACTTTGGCTCTGTGGCGACTTTTGATAGTTGGGAGTATTTTCTTCTTGATTTCCTCCTTAATCTGTGAAAAACTTGGAGGTATTTGAACTTGTACAACAGGTAGAACAGTGACAGTTTTTGCTAGTGAGTCTGCCTTTTCATTACCATCTATGATTCTATGCCAATGTGACTTGGTATCCAATTTAGGGTGATTGACAGCCCTAGATTATGGGCTTCTTTTCCTATATGTTGGATTTCTGTGAGGAGTTGTATATTATCTCTGTGCTGACTGGATAACAGATTCAGATTCAGATTCAGATTCAGATGTTTATTCAGGTAAGGTATATACATACAAGTGATGTTACATTAATGGATTGATATATAGATAGAGCTAGTACATACAATGCCTAAAGCCACTATTACGCAATGCGTTTCGGGCAAGAAAAAAACATTAATATCTAGAACTTAATACTAATTGAGCATAAAGAATAAAAGATGTTGAGAACAAATACAAATAAAGATAAAAAAAAGGGGGAACATGACTGAAAAAGCAGCACAAATACAATAGGTTGACAAACAGTGTTGATTAAAAAAAAGAAAAAAAAAAGAAAATGAAAATAACAGACATGGGTTGACAATAGAGGAGTGAGGTAGATTACAGGGAATTTATTAGGTAGTGTTTAGTTTTTATCTTAAACTGGTTGAGAGAGGTACAGTCTTTAACATGGTTGGGAAGGTCATTCCACATTCTGGGCCCCTTGATTTGCAGAGCATTTCTAGTTTGATTAAGACGTACTCTAGGAATATCAAAACTGTATTTATTTCTGGTGTGGTGCTCATGGGTTCTGTTACAACCTTCTATGAAGCTTTTAAGATCAGGATTGGCATTATAGTTTAGCGTTTTATATATGTATAATACACATGAGAGAATGTGCAGTGACTTAATATCTAACATATTAAGAGATTTGAGTAGGGGTACCGAGTGATGTCTGGGGCCAGAGTTGGATATTGTTCTAATAGCGGCTTTGTGTTGGGTAATTAGAGGAATGAACAATGCCTGAAGCGAACAATGCCTGAAGCGAAGATTTAGATTCGGTATGAATGATGACATGTCAATTATTCTCAATTGTATAGTTTATGGCCTCCTTCAGGGCATA